TCTGCATTTGTTGAAAGCTTTGGAGATGAATATTGAAAAGGAAAAGTCATTACAGCCCTCAAGGATTTGTTTTGTCTTTCATTCAAGGCACACAAAGAGGAGCCATATCTGTTACCAGACTCCCAAAGGGGAATATCAGGCTTTATTCACTTGCTTTGTAGGCACAACATTCTCTAAAATTCCTCTGAAATGTCATGAAATGCGCAGCTTTGTGTAATGTGTGATGTAACTTCAACAGAATTTCAGGGGGCGGGACAATTGTGGCTCCACCCCCTATTTTAAAACAGCCAATGGCATTTTGTTTCATCACAGCTCTGCCATATAGAGTATTAACCTTAATAGATGACCTAAAGAATAACGTTTCAATACTGTTACAGCCGGCTTTTAAGCTGAAACAAAAAGGAGGACCAGACGCAATCATCACTGGCAAAATAAAATTTATTTTAACATAACAATAACATAAATAATGTAAAGTAAACTAAAAGAAGAGTCAGGGCTGAAATAAGACAGTCAACGCAGCTTAAGTGGGCTTCATGACAAGGCGATCACTCAAAATCCCAGCCCGCAAATGCTGTTTAAAACCTGTGTACCAATCATGCTATCTCCAACCTGAAACTGAAACACACTCACCGCTGATAGGCTGGGAAACCACACACACACAGCCAATAGACTGAAACGCCACACGCACTCATGTCATGTCCATAGACCGGGACATCACACACACACACACACACACACACAAGCAAACTAACACACACACAGCCAACTGTTCCTGTTCGTACGTCAAGAATAAGGTCAATAGAGGGTACACAGTCCCATCCAAACCTTTCTGCTGTGCCAGTGGCATGGTAATGGAGTTCTAGGACAGGGATCAGTTGGGGGGTTTGGTTGGTCCAAAAGACCCACCCCTCAATAATTTGCTCTTGAGCTCATTCATTAATCAGCTTGAGCTCATTTATTAATTAACCACCAACTTATCCAGCAAGTTTTTATGCAGCGGATGCCCTTCCAGCCGCAACCCATCTCTGGGAAACATCCACACACAATTCACACACACACTCATACACTACGGACAATTTAGCCTACCCAATTCACTTGTACCGCATGTCTTTGGACTGTGGGGGAAACCAGAGCACCCGGAGGAAACCCAAGCGAAGGCAGGGAGAACATGCAAACTCCACACAGAAACACCAACTGGGCCGAGGTTCGAACCAGCGACTTAGTGACCTTCTTGCTGTAAGGCGACAGCACTACCTACTGCGCCACTGCCTCGCCCTGCTCTTGAGCTCATTTTCCTAATTGGACTGCTATGCCATCAAGGTCAAAATAATCCATCAAAAAAGGCTTCAAGACCAAGCGGAATCCGATGGCTGTCCCTTTGGTGTGACGTCAGCTAATCAGTTTTGGTCAATGCTAACAAATATTTTTCATGTGTCCAACATCCAAATGTACTCGAAAATGTACAATCTGACATCATCATCATCTTTCGCTACTGTATTGTATTGTACTGTATTGTTGAGAGAAATTTTTAAAAGTACTTTATTCTAAATCTTGGACCTTATTCTAGAAACAAAAAAATGACCAATAAAAAGGTCTGAAGCACCAAAAGTGGCCCATAACAAAAATTGATTTAAATACTTTTTATTACAATAGTCAAAAAGTGTGGTTATGTTGACCATCCGACAAGCTAATTCAGAATAGTGCTTAAAATATCACTAAAATATGTCATAATTAAATAGAAAATAATGTCATATAATGACAAAACGGTCCACTTTTTGAGAAAAAAAAACCTTTCCCGAGGTTGGCTATGGGCCTGACATTAGTTAGCTCATATTGTATATATGTAAAGTCCGCCTCGCAAATGGTCAATTGAAATGAATGGGTGTGGGCGAGGGTTTCAGTTATAAGCCTGGTAACTGTGGCAACAGTGGAATATAGGTGAATGTGCACTGCACTGATGGTGTGGATGAGAGCTGATTAACGACAATGACCTGATTTTTCATAGGGTTTATTCATTTGACAAATGCTTTTATCTACAATGGGAAAAGTGTGTTTCCCATTCATATTTTGGTTGGAGCTCTTGTTGTTTTTGTATTTATGGATGATAGGAAAGATGTGCATCATTAGTTGTAGCTTTTATTAGTTGTCACTCATTTTATTATAGACTTTTGAATGTCCATGGAACATTATTTCACGCATATTTTTTAACACAGCTATTTGAGACATTTAAGTAAGTCAAGGCAGGGTATGTTTATTTATATAGCACATTTCCTACACAATGGTAATTCAAATCACTTTACATAAGCAAGAATACAAATATATAATACAATATATAATACACAGCAAGTATAAGAAATCAAAATAACAATGTGGAAAAAAAAGATTAAAAACGAACAGGTTAGAAAAAGTTCAAAAGAAATGAAAAGAAAGAAAACGGCAACATAATAAAGCACAGTTGTGTTTTCAGTTTTGATTTGAATGCGCCTAATTTTGGAGCACATCTAATCACTACTGGAATCAGAAGTAGGCAATTTACTATATTTAATATGCTTTATATTATAGTGCAAATAAAATCACCTTTTCAAATGTTATTTCATGGATATATGCAGTTGTGCAAAATTATTATCTCTCCTGTAGAATTAATATTCTTTTAAAGTGATGTTTAACAGAGCAAGGACATTTTTCACAGCACAACACACACACACACACACACACACACACACACACACACACACACACACACACACACACACACACACACACACACACACAAAGACGCATCATTGTACACTCCAAAGTGTTGTTTTGCTGCTTGTTTAAACCACATATTTAAAATGAGTTGAATCAACACAATTCTTTAGTTCTTTTTGGCACAACGTAAAAACAATTAATTACACTACATAAAAGTCGTAAAATGTCTAAAAACATCTCAAATCACCGGCAACTATTAGCTGTTCCCAGGTTTGGAAGTTCCTGCTCATCTGTGATAAAACTGCCGAAAACAGGCCATTCTATGCAGGTGTGAAATGCCCCCCCCCCACCCCCTCCATATGACTAGCTTTAATTAGCATATGAATGAAACTACCTTAAGGACTCCACTCCTTATTGGATGAAGATAAAATTTGAAAGCAGAAAAGCATTTGTGATTGGCTACAGAGTGGCTGCTGTGTGTCAGCCTAGCCAATTACAATGCATTGTAACAAAACCCCTCCTATTTATGATAAATAAAAATATATATTATACTTATAGTTATATATTTTATTTATAATAATCATTAAAATACTGGATTATTATTAGTACTTATAATGTAAGAAAGTACCAGCTAACTAAAGTCATGATTCCCCATATTAAGAAGAGAAGTTTTGATAAAATATAAGAGATTTATAACAGATTGTACAAATATTTAAAAAAATCACACAAAAGTAAATACAATGATGCAATTTTTGTAGTGCAAGTATAATTGTGAAGTTGGCGGTTCATTCCGCTGTGGCGACCCCTGATTATTAAAGGGACTACGCCTAAGGAAAATAAACAAATATGAATGTGCATTCATTCATTCATTCTTTTTTTTTTTTCGGCTTAGTCCCTTTATTAATCAGAGGTCGCCACAGCGGAATGAACCGCCAATATATTCAGCATATGTTTTACGCAGCGAATGCCCCCTTCCAGCTGCAGCCCATCAATGGGAAACATCCATACACTTTCATTCACACACATACACTTCAGACAATTTAGCTCACCCAATTCACCGAAACCACATGTCTTTAGACTTGTGGGGGAAACTGGAGCACCTGGAGGAAACCCACGCGAACACTGGGAGAACATGCAAACTCCACACAGAAATGCCTTCTGACCCAGCCAAGGCTCAAACCAGTGGCCTTCTCGCTGTGACAGCGCTACCCACTGTGCCACCGCATTGCCCATGAATGTGTGTCATGGCTTTAAGTGTTTTTGTGCTGCCTCAGGGTTGTAGTTTTGTAGAGACATTCTTTGAGATGGGATTCCCTGGAAACATTTTTGATATAATGCTGTGTACTTTGAACCAGCTTCCAGTTTTTTTCTGAAGTGTGGCACACAGGTTGCTGAGCTCCTGGCCATGAAACAATGGAGACCTCACAATCCACCCTGACACCATCAACTGTCCCATCCTCCTCATCAGACATCAAATCTGATGTGATGCCCCTACAGAACTCAGTCTCATCTACTGTACTTAATTGATTTGTGTTGGGACAGCATGAAGGGATTGTGTGGAACCCTGTATTTTTTACATTGTAATATTTTTTTTGTTATTTTTAATTATATTATCCTCATTATAATGGAGTTTTATATTAAATCATGAATGTTGAAGAAAAGTAAAACATCAAAATCTCTAATGCAACAATAAACTTTAAAACAGTGATCTCAAACTCAATTCCTAAAGGGCCAAAGCTCTGCATAGTTTATCGCCAACCACCTTCAACCCACACCTGCTTAGTAGTCTCTAGTAGTCTTGAACACCTTGATTAGTTGCATCAGCTGTGATTGATAAAGGTTGGAGCAAAACTGCAGAGCTGCGGTCCTCCAGGAATCCAGTTTGAGACCCACAGGATGATTAAAAAATGCTTGGTTTCACATGATTTGTTTTGGAACAACATAAACATATTAGTTTTATTAGTTTATAACTTATTAGATTTTACAGATTTAAGTGGATGGAACATAAAACAATTAAGTTGTACCCCCAAAAAACACACAAGAGTTGTGTTGTTTCAACGCATTTTATATTAGTAGTTTGAGCAAACAGCAAACTTCATTTTTTTTTTTTTTTTTTTGACGGTATGATATGAAAAAACTTCATTTTTTTAAGTGAAGGAATCAATGGTGAATCATGTTGCCATGGTAAATCTGTCTTGGTAAATCAAATAATATACATATTTTGTATTTAATTTTATATTTTACTTATACCTGTGGTTTTCCAATGTTTATGTTTTTTGTGACACTTCTCTCTCTTTCTGTTTCTACAGTATCCTCTTTGCTGACATTGAGGGCTTCACCAGTCTGGCTTCCCAGTGCACTGCCCAGGAGTTAGTGATGACCCTCAACGAGCTTTTCGCACGATTCGACAAACTGGCCGCCGTAAGTATCCACAGCCCATGCCTTCAGCTGAGCAGCTTTTTTTATTAAAAAAAGCAAAACACGACTGAGATGCAAACATATTAATTCGACTCGCGTCCCACTCACACAGCTGACTATTATAGACAGGCCCTCCCTCCTGTCAGAAGTGTGTTTGTGATCACGTTTCACACACCGGGTATCCCGCTGTTTTCGAGGCTAACTATCTCCTCGTTATCTCCACCGGCTCTGGTGACTCACTGCAGCAAAGTCGCCATGTGGTTATGCACGTACTCATGCCGCTCAAAGAAGAAAACCATCTGCTGTCTGTTCAGATGTTTGCACACTTCTCTAAAGCTTCCAGCAAAAAGACTACAAAAAGTCTGCATTCGTACTTGGGCCTGATGATCAACAATAGAGGTTGTTGTATGGGCTGCGGGTTAAATCAAGGCATGCGCCGGGGTGACATTCAGGTGGCTGTCATAAGACCCGGGCTGCTGCCGTGAGTCCTGTGCCCGACCTCAGGCTCTCTCTTCTGCTTTCTTCTTGTGTGTGTCTTTCTGTTCCTAAAAATTGCTTTAATGCTTGAAATTTCAGTCACACTCAAGACTGTTACAATCCAGCTGTGATCTTGAGCATTTCAAAGCAGATTCAGGGTATCCGCAGGGTCTTAAAGTCTTAAAATGTTCTAAATTTCAGGCCTTAAAAGGTCTTAAAATCACTGAAATATTGTGTTGTAAGTCTTAAATCATTTTAAACAGGTCTTAATTTTCTTATGTCAATGTAAAGCAACTAAAAACATCTAATCGCTAACATTCCATCTCAATAAACGTTTTACCAAAACTTTATTCATTAATATTTTGTTACCAATATGGTTTGTCTTCCGACAATAAATTTTTTTTTTAATGTTTTAACTGGGCCATTAGAAAAAATCCTTAACGTTTAGCCTCGTGTAAATCTGAAATTTTACTTGAATGGTCTTAAAGTCTTAAAATTTGACTTGATGAAACCTGTGGAAACCCTGAGATTAAAAGAACATTTCTCTTTACAATGACTTCTGAGTTTGACAAAGTGGTGTGCAAGTTTGGTCCTGGAGAGCCACAGTCATGTAGGGTTTACTTTGATTTCATTTTGTCTGTGCCTAAAAAGAAAGATTCAAAGTCAAAGTTTTGATGACTTACAGAGACTAGAATATCTTTAGTAACGTTCAAAATACATAAATCATTCAAATATATTTATTTAGTTGACTTATGATGTTTTAGAATTAATTAAATTAAATAAAAAAAATGAATTAGGGGTTTAATTAGTAGAAGTTTAAAAAGTAAAATGAATTATTAGGGCTTTTGTTTTTCAAACTGAGTGCAACAAATTATATGCTATTAGATCTGTGACTAATTATTGATTTGTTAGTCAATAAATCTTTAATTTATCAATTAACAAAGGGGGGAAAAAATTACATTTTAATAAATATTAATTACATTAACTGTATACTGTAAAACCCAAAAGGTTACTCAAACTTTTGAGGAAACGGATTGCAACAGACCATTTAAGTTCAAAAACTAAACCTAATGAGTACTGTAAACTTAATCCATTTTAGTAAAAGAAGCAATTTAAGCACAGTAAACACACTGTGAACTTACTCCATATAAGTTGAAGCAATGGGGTATTAAATTAACTCATTACCTTTAATACTGAGTTCAAAACTTTTCAAATGAGTAGAATTTACTTTCAGTAAATTGAGTTAGCTACACTCATTTCATTTGATAAAGTTGACAGTTGGGTTTCACAGTGTTATTATGATTTAATATGACAATTATTTTTTTTATAATACTTATTTACTTAATATTTTAAGTAATTACTTAATCAATAAGCAATTGTTTTATTTTCTGACTCTATCAATTAGTTTTTGCAGATCTATGTACTATATTGCAGTTAATCAAATTAAAAATAGAAATTTTTCATAGGGATTTATGTGATTTTCATTACATTATTTTTACCATTTACCATTATTTAAACCATTTTAAGGTAAATAGGAATTTTCCCTATACAAAATCATTTATATTAGGGGTGACACTTTATTTAATTATTTTATTTAATTTAATTTAAACTTTATTATTTGTTTATTTTTTGTTAATTAGTTGTTGCAGATTTATAAAAAGTTTATTTTATGGTTAAAAAATAATGATGAAACACTTCATATTTGGTTGAGCTATGTTTTAGTATCATATAACCTTTTTTTATTCATTTCCAAGAGATTTCTGATGAGATTACTGATGTTTTCCAAGAAAAACATCAGAACAAATTAGGATGGATTTTTGAAATCATGAAACCAGGATGCCAAACTTACTTTATAAAAAAATTGACTGTAGACACAGATTAAAATCTGACCTCTCTAAGCCATTTGGGAACAGTTGGGTTTTGAGTTTGTTTTGTCTCCATAAATCATGTAAATCCCTATGAAAATCCACACCCTTAAAAGGAAAAACCATTTGTGGAATGCGAAGGGGTTTTAATGGAGAAAATACGTTATATGTAACACATTCCCTTTGTTGGATATCACGTATCACACCCTAATAGTTATGAAATGGCATGTGATGTATTATTTAAGCTGGTAACACTTTAGAATAATGGTCCAGTAGTTAATGTGTTTACATTAAACTTAACATTAAATTTGAATAGTCTTGTAAAGCATCTGTTAATCATAGTTCAACATAGCTAACGCATTATTAAAATCCAAAGTTGTTTTTGTTAACATTAGGTAATGCAAAGTGAGTAAACATGAACTAACGTTATTCAACTTGAATAACATTAACTAACAATAACAAAAATAAATACATACAGTAATAAATGTTTTACTAATTGTTTGTAAACACATTAACTAACATTAACTAATGGGCCATTACCTTTATACTTTTAAATTAAGGGCCTTATAGATGAACTAATCTAAATGTTAACAACAGCACTTCAAACAGCCGAAATATCCGTCGTTGAACCACAAAACTAGCCATAACTGTACATTTTTTTGAAATTTAGATTTACACATCACATTAAATCTGAATAAATAAGCTTCCCATTGATGTATGGTTTCTTAGAATAGTTCTAGTTTTGGCCAAGCTACAACTATTAGGACATCTAGAATCTAAGGGTTCAAAAACAATTGAAATATTGAGAAAATCGTCTATGACGTTGTCTAAGGTTAATTTTGGCTAAATTTGAAAACTGTGTTTGCGTCTAAATGTTCCATGCCCACACCATTGTTTTCAGTTCTTTCCATCATCCACACTATCATCTGAAACACTTTCGTTTATGTACTTTCAATGCACACAGACATAAGACGCTTTTACCTCTGTCATGTTCGCCTGCCGTTTATTACTTTCCATCTCTTTGAAATGTTGCAACATTTTGTCGTCTGCTTCTGCCGCTGAACAATAGTTCCAAGTAAACGTTATATGTTCGAGACAGGCAAGAGGCAATATGGATTAAATACAAACTTGACCCAAGAAGTGTATCTGAACATAGACCTGTGATCATTAAAGACACAGTGATACAGCAAGTATCACTATACAGTATCTTGCTTGTTTTTTTACAGAGCTATATTTGAAAGTCTTATTCGCTATAGAATCACAGTCTGGTTTGGAAATCTGTCTGTTCAATTGAAAAATAAATTGGTTCATATTAAAAAAAACAGCCATGAAAATCATAAAAATAAAACAATACAAGCCCATACATACTCTTTATAAACAGGCGGTCATGAGAAGAGCAATACATATTAGTGCTGATTCCAAACATCCTCTTATAAGTGGATATCAGCTGTTACCGTTAGGAAAAAGACAGAGAACGCCAATATGTAAAACCAATAGATTGAAGCTTTCGTTTGTTCCTACCTCGATAAAACTATTGAACTCTATCAAGAACAATGCACCTGTAGAATATTAGCACCTGACTGTGTTCTGTGCTTTATATATTTCATAATTATATATTTATATATGGTCTAATTTTGTAAACAATGAATATTCTTAATAGTTTTGTTTGTTTTATTTATTTTATTGTCTGCTTAGAGCAACTTTGTAGCACTTTATTGCCCAAGACAAATTTCCTCGGGGACAAATAAAGTTTATCCTATCCGATCCCAAACTGACATTAATCTTTAATAAAGCTGTTAAAACACACAGCATCCAAAACATCTGGTTTACAATTTTGTAAATTTTTGTTAGCTGTATTGGTCACTAAATTGAGTCACATGATTAAATAGCGTCGTTGTTTTCGAAAACCTCAATTTTCAGTCCACACTGTAACACAAAAATGCCGTTTTTACATTTTGTCCACTTTGGACTGTTTTCAAAAAGATTTGTTTCCTAAAAATGCCATCTCGGTGTGGGCGTAAGGTCAGAGTAGAGCAAAAAAATATGCATTTTTAAATGTACTAGTGTGGACATGGCCTAAATGAAGTGTTTAGCAATGCACATTACTAATAAAAATAGAGCTTTTGGTATATTTATAGTGGGACATCTACAAAATGTCTTCATGAAACATGGTCTTTATATTCTAATGATTTTTGGCATCAAAGTGAAATCAATAATTTTGACAAACACAATGTATTTTTTGGAAATTGCCAAACCCTATTTGTGCATCATGAGATTATTGTAGGGTTGTGATTTCTGCTCAATTATCACTGTCCTGTGTTTCAGGAGAATCACTGTCTGCGGATCAAGATTCTGGGTGACTGCTACTACTGTGTGTCAGGGCTGCCGGAGGCCCGTGCTGACCATGCGCACTGCTGTGTGGAGATGGGAGTGGACATGATAGAAGCAATCTCGTGAGTATGACAGTGTTGCTTCTGTTCGTCAGACAGGAACAGCAAGGCTTTTGTGTCTTCTTTTAAATGCCCTCTGAAAATGTACTTCAGCCCGGAGATACACAGGAGACGCTGTGGTGAATCGAGACCTGCTGCGATCCCCAGAAATGGATACACTTTGATGTCCCTTTTCAAATCGTCTCATTATTGCAGTGCTTTTCAAAGTCCGGACTCTGGAAATTTAATCCGGACCCGCCTCTATTTTATATTTCAAGAGTACTAATTATGTGTAAGGGAATGAAAGTGTGGATTTACGGCTTTGATAAATACATGTTAAGTTTGCAATCTTTTTAACTACTTTCGGCCATGGTTCAAATTGAAACCAAAGGTGACATTTAAAGGTTTGCTGTTTGAAGCTGTTGTCATGACATCCAGTCAGCACCTTCATGACCTCACTGCAGTGAGCGTTTGAATGGGTTTGGATGTCAGTTTCCAGAAAAGAAACGTTTGCAAAGAGAATAGTTTGACAGAGGTATTCATTCATTTCTCTTCAGTTCTGTACAAAACTCTTCTGTTTGATTTGTTTGAGATCATTTGAGTTGGAGTTGGAAATGTCAAATACCACTATGAAACAAAAGTTTAGTCAGCTGACAAAATACGTAAAGTGTCATTTCTTACACTAGCCTGCTCTGTGTTTTGCACCATTTTAGTTTTGACCTACCTCTGGATGTTTTTCTGTTTTGTCACTTGCAGTTTTGCCACTTTTGCAATTGTGATAATGTATTTTTGAAAGCAAAAGACACTATTTGTAATTGTTAAATTGCGTATTGATTGATATTTTTCTTATAATAATTTTTTTCAGAGTTTTGACCTTCAGATTTGGACTTTTAAATTGAGACTTTGGGATCCCCTCCATTATTACACAGTACTTCCATGGTTAGATTTAGTCATTAAATTGCATGTAGTCATAGTTAGTACTCTTTGTCAATATGTATGCAAAAAAAGTCACAGAAGTATTGCAGCAAGGTTTTCCAGAGGTTCTCAATCACATGTATTTCAGGACACTGGGCTGGCCATTTCAATGGTTTCAGTTTCGAGAAACTGCTTTACCCGTTTTGCTGTGTGACGGTGCTCATTGCCCTGCATGAAAATTTGCTGGTTGATTAGGCGATGGACCCAGAGAACGAATCATGATTTTGACACATTTTTAATCATAATAGTTTTAATAATTCTTCTTCTTCTTCTTAATCCTGTATGGTTGCAGGGTCGGCTGTTTGGAACAAGCCATTTTAGACTTTTACGACAATTATTATTTATTTATTTATTTTTTATTATTTTTTTTTTTTTACACATTCCGGCCGGCCTGTCGTCTGGGCCTGTCAAGCTCATACACTCATACACTACGGACAATTTAGCCTACCCAATTCAACTGCAGCATGTCTTTGGACTGTGGGGAAAACCGGAGCACCCGGAGGAAACCCAGAGAGAGAACATGCAAACTCCTCACAGAAACACCAACTGAGTCGAGGTTCGAACCAGCGGCCTAATAGTTTTAATAATTAATTTCTAATAACTAAAAATATAGCTAATAATATTGACCTTAAAAATAGTTTCAAAATTTTGAATATGCTTTTATCTCAGCCAAATTAAAATAAATAAACATTCCTCAGAAGAAGAAACAATAATATATTTTATTGTATTAATATTAGAATAAAGTTGTAAGTATTTTAAATCGTGGGAAAATGTCCTTGCTCAAAGCATTAAACATCACTTGGGAAAATTTGAAAAATAATACAAATTTGACAGAAGGGCAAATAATTATGACTTCAATTATATAAAAGGAAATATCGGTGACCTGGAAATTTTCGGTTTCTATCTAATTTTGATGTCTGTGTATTGTCAGAATATATTCCATATGTCATTATATTATTAATATGGTTGTTGACGCAAATGCATTAATGCGTTAATTATTTTAATGTTTTAATGCATACGTTAATGTTGAAATAATTGGATGAAAAAAAATTACTGAAACATGCAGAATAGCATAATGTAATTTACACCATGCAGTTCAACTTACAAGCTTTGACATTTGGTGGAAGCTACAGTACAGTATGTAGGCGCTCCTTTTAAAAAGAAAAATCATGCTATAAAGCATTAAGTGCATTGCATAGGCTATGACTATATTAGATTACTCATAAAATACTTAATGCATTCATTCATTCATGCAATTTCCTTCAGCTTAGTCTCTATTTCAGAGGTTGCCACAGCAAAATGAACCACCAGCTATTCTAGCATATGTTTAATATAGCAGATGCCGTTTCAGCCGCAACCCACACACTACGGACAATTTAGTTAATTCAATTCACCTGTACAGCATGTCTTTGGACTCTGGGGGAAACCGGAGCACCAGGAGGAAACCCACATGAACTCGGGGAGAAAATGCAAACTCCACACAGAAATGACATCTGGCCTAGCCGGGACTCAAACCAGCGACCTTCTTACTGTGAGGCAAGAGTGCTAACCACTTAGCCACCGTGCTGCTCGTAAATCATTAGCGTGTATATATTTTGTTTCTTGAGTTAAGAAAATGTTGTACTCTTTTAAACAACCTGTTCTTTATTCGTCTTGAAATGCAAACAAGAAGAGACGGTCCAAACTGTGCACTTCATTTAACACTAAGGCAGGAGAGAGGATCTGCAGACAGATTAGGATCCAGTGAAGTTGAGATTTATTCACAGGCTTTTCATTTTGATTTAATTATTTAGCGAATCCACAGATGAAAGAGTCAACAACACAAAGTAAATACAAGGCTTCTGCCTGACAGGAGTGATATGTTGTGTATATAATAGTAAAAGAAAGATTGTTTTTAACTTTTTAGAAATTTTGATGGAATGTTTATATATAATATATTCTTAACACTGTGTCTGCCCATTTTTTGTTTATATAATAGGGACGGTACACTGACATTGTTATACAAGGACATCCAATGCCGCGTACATAGGATATTGTAGGTTATAGCATGAATCTAATTTGCAGCCTTCGTCCCTGGGTAGGCTTTCTAAAAAAAAAAATCAACAAATAAAAACAATACAACAAACATGTGCAGTATATGCAGAGTCACAAACATAAAATGTGAGTCAATCTGGATACTAAAGAGAAATGTAAACCTGACCAACCTGAAAGAATATACTTAACGTTCACAAAGCTGTAAAGATTTCAACCATTCTTTTAGCTTTACAGATAAAAAAGGTAGTTCTGGTTGTAACTTTAAATCATCTGGCGTGTCTATATATATATATATATATATATATATATATATATATATATATATATACACATGTATGTATGTATGTGTATATATATATATATATATTATACAGTTATACATGTATAATATATATATATATATATTATACAGCCCCCCTAAATTATTAGCGCCCCTGTTTATTTTCCCCAATTTCTGTTTAACGGAGGGAAGATTATTTCAGCACATTTCTAAACATAATAGTTTTAAAAACTCATTTCTAATAACTGATTTATTTTATCTTTGTCATGATGACAGTAAAAAATATTTTACTAGATATTTTTCAAGACTTCTATACAGCTTAAAGTGACATTTAAAGGCTTAATTAGGGTAATTAGGGTAACTAGGCAGGTTAGGGTAATTAGGCAAGTTATTGTATAACGATGGTTTGTTCTTAAGACAATCGAACAAAAAATTAGCTTAAAGGGGCTAATAATTTTGTCCCAAAAATAGGTTTTAAAAAATTAAAAACTGCTTTTATTCTAAAAAATTCAAAAGGGTGCTAATAATTCTGATTTTAACTGTGTGTGTATGTATATGTATGTATGTATGTATGTATGTATGTATGTATGTATGTATGTATGTATGTATGTATGTATGTATGTATGTATGTATGTATGTATGTATGTATGTATGTATGTATGTATGTATGTATGTATGTATGTATGTATGTATGCATGCATGTATGTATGTATGTATGTATGTATGTATGTATGTATGTATGTATGTATGTATGTATGTATGTATGTATGTATGTATGTATGTGTATGTATATATGTATATATATATATATATATATAGATGTGTGTGTGTGTGTGTGTGTGTATGTATGTATATGTATCTATTAGGGATGGGAAGATTAACCGATATGTATCGATACGCGGTCATGCGCGTGCACGATGCGAGTGCATCGGTTGAGCAGCAGAGGATGAATGAAATTTTGGAAGCAAATCGAGATGCATCGGTTTTTGCGAGATGCATCGGTTTTTCCGAGATACAGCTTATATTTTTAATATAGAATGTATTTTTTATTTATTAACAAGTGTTGTTAACCTGTTTTTGGCGCATAATTTAATCGACCTACATAAAGTAAGCCTTAGCAACGGATTTGCGGATGTGCACGAACTACAACTCAGTGTATCAGGTGTGCGGATGAAGCTAGTGGAGCGCCCTCAGAAAGCGCGAGAAGCAAAACAAACATTTTATTCCCCACTGAGTTTTAAATCTAAAGTATGGCAACATTATGGATTTAAGGATGGACGACTTGACAGGACAGATGCAATTTGCAAAATGTGCCGCGCATCTGTAAAATACACGGGCAGTACGACTAATCTGATATCTCACTTGAAGCGGCGCCACGGTGTTGTTGTGAAAGCATCTTCTAGTGTTTCTGCATCCCCGGCTTTCGCACTGCTTCAACCAGCTCCAAAAGTGGTGAGAAAAGCATTGAAAGTTTTTTTTTCCATGCGCAACAGTTCTGCTCGCTCTACGCCAATAACGAATGCTATTGCATTGTTCATCTGCAAAGATATTCAGCCTAGTGTCACGGAGAACGAAGGTTTTAAACACCTCCTCCTGTTAATTTTTATTTAATTATAATAATATTAATAATAATAATGATAAAAACGTGTCACGGTGGCACAGTGGGTAGTTTGACCACCTCACAGCAAGAAGATTGCTGGTTTGTTATATTTTTATTAGCCTGTTGTTTACAGTGACAGTGATGTTTCAACGCAGCATAACACTGCTAGTTCACGACCTTAAGTTTTGAATAATCAGTGGCAAAATATATCTTTGTAAAACTTGTTTTCATAGTTGAAAAGTTAAATCACAATTCTTGTTGTGCAATGCTAAATTTATTTATGTTGAAAGAGTGCAAATATATACATTTATAATATATATTGCACTTATACATTCTGTTTATCTTGAAAATACTTAAATAATATGTGCTATATGTTCTAAAATGGCCCTCTACTGTAAACTGACACTCTGGCTCTGAGAGAAGAGCCAGTTTGTAAAAAAAGTCTTGGTTTTGCTTGGTTAATAAATAATCAAACTCATTCAATGGCACAGCATCCTCTTTCACATCATCTCATAAACTTGATCTAATTAGTTAGTGCTGAAATATCGCATCGTATCGTGATATGGGTGTGAATCGTATCGTGTTGCATCGCAATGTCACAAATGTATCGCTAATATATCGTATCGTATTCTTTGTATCGAGATACGTATCGGATCGGCATTATAGCTTAGATGCCCAACCCTAGTATCTATGTGTGTGTGTTATCATACAAAAGCAGTTTTAATTCGCAATTTCATAACAGGATTAAATTTACTAAATTGTCATAGAAAACTAAAAATAAATGGAACTTGAGACCTCCTATAATATTCAGTTTCACCTCCTCTGAAATGTCATTAAATGAATGTTTTCTAAAGGTTTGGTGCATCCTTTCACTATTGAAAAAGGAGCATCTTCAGAATTAGTTTTGTATCCAAGGAAACGGACACTTTTAACTGAAGGTTCATGGAAAGGCTGAGCTCAGAGAGAACACTTAATTTTACTAGTAATGACTAAATTGTCCTAAGCATTGCGTTCTTTCTAGAAACTTTGAATTGGCCTGAGTGGGTTTGTCCGGGACTTCTAATTAGTCAGGTCGGTCATTGTTTAATTGAGTTGTTTCTGAGTTATTTGTCTGGTGTTCATGTAAACGTGTCTGCAGGCCTGACTCCTCTAATGTTCAGTATGTCAAAGCAGTTGTTTGTTAAGGCAGGATTGGAGCTGGTGACTGGCTTTCTGCTCCACTGAGCACGTGTCTGTGTTTCTCTGAGCTCCAGCCAGCCGCCCAGCGCCCCGTCACAGGAAGAGACCATTTTTCCGCAGACTTGCCTGTCGCACTCAATGTTCGAAGGAGTTTGATGGCTTGTTTGCTGTGTGACGTCAGGATCAGAATGTGCTGGTAACTTGTTGATGTGCCTGGTGGAAAGGTGCGTTTCGAGGAGCACTGAATCCACCTTAGGGTTTCTTCTTAAAGGGAAAGTGAGATGACATTTGTTTTGTGAGAAAGGTTATGAATTTATTGTATTGAATAGTTAAGCTTGTGTCCGAATGTAGGAAATACTGTTCTGTTGGTTGTATTGAGAACGAGTAAAGAGAAAGCTACCATTTCCCTTTTAGTGTTTTTATGCCGAGTAAAATATTTTTGATTTATACTTGATTTTTATAAAAACATTATATAATTTTAATTTGACCTCTATTGTTTTTGCTATTTTTGTTGATTTTTTTGTTTACTAACTGGTAGGAGGAAAAAAAGATGAAATTCATCAATATAAACCATATAAAACCATGATATTAAACCATGACTTATCAATATGTGAGCTCAGATTTTTGTAAAGCATACTTTCAGTTTTTTAATCCATACTAACAATCCATACCTCGCCACTGGCTTGCTTGGTTTTGGGACTTGTGGAGCTGGACATAGATGGATTTGCTCTTCAGTGTTTGAACTTTCAGCAGTGAAAATTAAACAAAACTAAACTAGACTTCAACTCTGAAATCTGGACTGACACAGTTTCAATTTACTCGTACTTAAAGCTAGTAAAGCTGCTTTGACACAAGCGCTATAGAAATAAAGATGAATTGAATTGAATTAATTCATGCATGCACTTTCGAAATCAATTCCTAAAGATTTCTAAATTGTAGTCTAATGACAAAATTTCCAGATTAGTTATGTATAAATAAATACAAAGCCCAGGAAGTTACTTGTGGAAGGGAAAAAAACTATGTGTGGCAACAATCTTCTTTGTTTAAATACTAAATGATAATTTAATTGATCCCCTTTTTTATCGTATAGTCTTTTAGTGCAAGAGTTATAAATTTGTGTAAGGATAAAACATGCATGTTTTACAAAATCGGAGTACACAATCTGGAAGTTTGTGGGTACGGTTTAATCCATTAGCACAGTTTGTTAAACCAGTGTTTCTCAACCACGTTCCTGAAGGACCACCAACACTGCATGTTTTGAATGTCTCACACCCAGTATGGGTCTTTTAATCTCTGCTAATGAGCTGATGATCTGAATCAGGTGTGTTTGGTTATGGAGACATGGAACATGTGCAAGGCTGGTGCTTCTCCAGGAATGTGGTTGACAAACTGATGCAAGCAAGTTTTATGAACCAAGGGAAGTCTTATTTCATCTTGGCTTATGCTTCTTGTTTTGATTTTTCCTCTAGATTTTGTTCATTTTTTCATCTGGAATAATTTTTTTTTGGTTTAGCTTTTTTGTTGTTTTGGTTTGTTTCTTGTGTGATTTTTGGCTTTGTGCTTTGTTATATTATATGCTTAAATCATTACAGTTTTAATTCAAATAAAACTTGTTACATATATATTTTAACATATTTTTATTTCAAAGTGTTTAGCACTGTTGCTTCACAGTAAGAAGGCCGCTGGTTTAAGTCTCGGTTGGGTCAGTTGACATCTGTGGGTTTACATGTTCTCCCCGTGTTCGTGAGGGTTTCCTCCTGGTACTCCGGTTTCCCCCACAGTCCAAAGACATGCGCTATAGGTGAATTGAATAAACTAAATTGCCCATAGTGTGTGGGAATGAGAGAGTGTATGGGTGTTTCCCAGTGCTGGATTGTGGCTGGAAGGGCATCCACAGCTTAAAAGATATGATGGAATAGTTGGCAGTTCATTCCGCTGTGACGACCCCTGACGAAATAAGAGACTAAGCCGAAAACAAAAATGAATTAATGAATAATTCATATATTATTGGCTGGATGTACCACTGTGTTTATCACGTTTAAAGCAGCACATTCTTAAGGAGAAATCATTGTTTCTGCAAAGTCACTTTTTTTCTCAGTTGAGCTGATAGCAGTCATCATGAATTATAATAAGGTTTAGATTAAAATCCCCTCTCTCCTTGACTAAAGGTGACATGGTGGCAAAGCTTATGTCACTTTCTTCACATACTTTATCAAAGCTTATATTTAAACCGCTTTCTCAGTAATGTGTAGCAACACTGGAAGTTTTAAAATCACCACAGAGTATAAAATTAGCATATAAACTAATTTTGAATCCTTCAATTAACAATGGTATTTTTTTTTTTGTGTGTGTGTGCACTCCAGCTTGGTGAGGGAAGTCACCGGTGTGAACGTCAACATGCGTGTTGGAATACACAGCGGGCGCGTTCACTGCGGGGTGCTGGGATTAAGGAAATGGCAGTTTGATGTCTGGTCCAACGATGTCACCTTGGCCAACCACATGGAAGCTGGGGGCAAAGCAGGGTGGGTTCATGAACTTTGCATGTATTTTTTTTTTTTTTTTTTGCTCATGTTTTCTCACCTGAACTCCCTATGTCTCTTCACTTTTAAAATCGGATTCTTTTTCCATTAACACAAGGCAAGTTTAGACGTGTCTTTGTGCTGTTATCTTTCTCACCATAACTTTGTTCAGAATAGCATACTACTTCTGTCATGTCAGTTTATAACACTTTTATTTATATAGTTCTTTTTTCAGCACAAATACACAGTAATAGATGCAGACTTCAATTATGAGTCAATTTTGAATTCAGGAAAGCAGCTCCAAATAGGCAAGTGTCATTATTCGATTTTGATATAGTTCAGTTCAATTGCTGTAAAATTAATCAATTATGATTTTTTTTTTATTCAGATATGGAGAGTTGAATAAGGCAGTAGTGTCATTAATCAGCTCAAGTTACTTCAGGATGGTTTAATTCAGTATTTCAATGAAGATTAATCAATTGTGAAACAATATTTTGCATAGTATTTTTGTATTCTGTAAGCGTAGTACCTGATTGTTTTAAAACTGTTATTAAAAACTTAGCCTTCGTTTAAATCAGAGTTTTTAATCTTGTTGATGATCGTTATATAAGGGACCTCCATCCTCATGTAAATTAAACCTATATATTGTGTTTTTTAGATTTTATTTATTCACACAGACATACATACACGACTACACATGCACGCTTATTGTTTTTTTGTTGTTTTATATATATCTAATGCATGTTATATGTCTTGACACACTGAATGTAACACTTTTAATAATATCTTTTTATTATCTGTTTATGAAGTATGTTTTACTTCCTAAAAGGAATCTCGTTTGCTGACAACGAATGTTTAATGCTGTTTCTCACACTATGAAAAATAGTAGGCTGCATGCACTCACTAGCGTTTCATTCTGCCTAATTTAATGCCACATTTTTTCTAATCATCTCAGGCGTATACATATCACCAAGGCCACTCTAAACTACCTGAATGGGGATTATGATGTGGAACCTGGATCTGGTGGAGAAAGAAACGTGTATCTCAAGAAGCACAACATTGAAACCTACCTCATTGTGGGCTGCAGTCAGAAGCGGGTGAGACTTTTTAAAAAAATTATTATTATTATATATTTATATATATATTTTAGATAAAACGGGCTACAAAACAGTTTTTCATGTACCTGTCAATTTTTACATTTTGTGCATTTAATTTTGTGTGTGTGTGTTAGGTCACACGTTACAATAAGGTTTAATTTGTTACTGTTAGTAATATATTTACTAACATGAACTAATAATGAACAATACTTGTATGCCATTTATTAATCATAGTTCAACATTTACTAATACTTTATCAAAATCCAACAGGGTAACTGTTACCCTGATGAAGGCAGACTTCTGCCGAAACGCGTAGGTTTTTAGAGATTTAGCCATGTGAATAAAGGCTTTTTAAATGTTTCACTATATTCGAGTGCCTTGGACTGATTCTTGTTGCTGTATTTGGATTTATTTGTACTGTATATCTTTTTGTTGTTTTTTTTAACAAGTAAATAAACAAGTGATCACACCATTTGATCGGTCATCATGACTGCAGCAACTTTGAGCCCCCGAAGGGTCCGGTTCGACTGCTCCGTTTTCAACTCTGTCCCCGCCTGCGCTCGGCTAATCTCGTTGATCATCGGCTAAAGTCGTGCTTCATGTTGAACGCACCTAATGAATCAAAAAATGAATCAAGCAAGCAATGAATCAAGAAATGAATCAAGCTATAAATCAAGCAAGCAAACAATGAATCAAGCAAGCAAGCAACGAATCAAGCAACAAATCAAGCAATGAATCAAGCAAGCAAGCAACGAATCGAGCAATGAATCAAGCAAGCAAGCAACGAATCGAGCAATGAATCAAGCAAATAAGCAATGAATCAAGCAAGCAAGCAACAAATCAAGCAATGAATCAAGCAAGCAAGCAATGAATCAAGCAATGAATCAAGCAAGCAACGAATCGAGCAATGAATCAAGCAAGCAAGCAATGAATCAAGTAATAAATCAAGCAAACCAGGGATAAATCAAGCAATGAATCAAGAAAGCAAGCAACGAATCAAGCAATGAATCAAGCAAACAAGCAACGAATCAAGCAATGAATCAAAGAAACAAGCAACGAATCAAGCAATGAATCAAGCAAACAAGCAATGAATCAAGCAAACAAGCAACGAATCAAGCAACGAATCAAGCAATGAATCAAGTAATGAATTAAGTAATGAATCAAGCAATGAATCAAGCAAGCAAGCAAGCAATGAATCAAGTAATGAATCAAAGCAAGCAATGAATCAAGCAATGTATGAAGCAATGTATGAAGCACTGAATCAAGAAAGAAATTAATCGAGCAAGCAAGCAATAAATCAAGTAATAAATCAAGAAAGCAAGCAATGAATCAAGCAAGCAAGCAATGTATGAAGCAATGAATCAAGAAATAAATAAATGAATCAAGCAAGCAAGCAATGAATCAAGCAATGAATCGAGCAAGCAAGCAATGAATCAATCAATAAATAAATAAATAATACAATGCAAAAAAATTTAATGTACAGATTTTTGAACAAGGAAGGTCTCCAAATAAATAATGGCTTATTTGCTTATTAAAATATAATGTTTTTAATAGTAAAAGAAAATGGCTGCATCCCTTAATGTGATCAATCTGCTTTGGTTGTAAGGCGATAAATATTAGTTTTTTTTTGTTTCGTTTTTTTTTTTACATATTCATCAACAGTGTATTGCCTCAATTTTATAATTCCGATGAATTATTTCAGATTTGTTTATTGTTGTTTATTTTTAAATACTCTACAAACTCTAAACCTAATACACCTGGTGTTCAACAAGCGATCATTCTCTGTTAATATTCACAGCCTTTTTCTTATGCAAAAACACCTAGTGCTCAGAAATGGCATGACTCACATGATGCAGAAGATGAATGCAAATGAACTCTGTTGATGCATTCAGAGAAATGTGACGTCAGAGAACATGCTAGCTAATAACTTTGACATTGAGAAAGCATAGACCGTAATACTGCTCTGGTTTTATGTTTCCTCTCACAGAAAGAAGAAAAGGCCATGATTGCTAAGATGAACCGACAGCGCACCAACTCGGTCACTCATAACAGCACTCACTGGACCGACCGGCCCTTCTATAATCACCTGAATGCCAATTCTGTTTCCAAGGAGATGAAGAGGATGGTGAGGAAGCTGCACTTTAGAAAAGGGTCGCATTTACCACCCTTGTAGTATGAGAATATTAACTCTGTGCTAAAAAAAAACAAAAACATGTCTATTTGAATTTACTCTAATTGGCGTGTCTAAAACCCATTAGGGCCTCTGTCAGAGGAAAAGGCCGTTGACAGGGGAGGCTTTTTGTGTCCTGTGTTAACTAAGCCTAAACAATCCCAAGGACATTGCTTAGGGGCCACATGTAAAGGGTCTCCTTCCCTTTGTGGTCGTCCCTGTTCTTTCATTGAGTTCTCAGGTCTTCTTCAGCTCTGGAACCCAAAGGGAACAACACTCTAATTAAATAAAGCTGAATTTCCTCACATACAGGCCTGAGGGATTTAATCAGGCAAAGTGGAACCAGCAATTAGTCCCTATGCACACCATGGGAATAGCCTTTATCTTTTCTTTTTTCTGTTCTCTTTTTTAAGTCAGAATTACCTGTTTCTTTTATCTTGGATAACATGGTAAGAAGGAACAGCAAAATCCATGCAAAATTCGAACTACGAAAAAAAAAATTAAATTAAAAGAATAATCAAAGTTTGGTTTACTATTATTTTTACTCTTTCTAATAGTTACATTTTAACTTTTTAAAAATGGTCACTTTCTTTTTTTCAGCTAGAATATCCTCTATAAAACAATGAGATAATGTAAAATATTAAATAAAATTAAATAAATGAAATGAAGCTTAATAATGTTTTGTTAATGTTTTTTTAATTGACCAAATTTGATCAAATTAATTTGACCAAAAGTGACATAAAAGAGATTCATGATGTTGCAGAAACTTTCACTTCCAGTTAAATGTGTTTCTTTCATACACAACTACTAACCTCAAACATGTTATTCATTCATTCATTCATTCATAAATTCATTCATTCAATCATTCATTCATTTTCTTTTTAGCTTAGTCCCTTATTTATCAGAGAATGAACCGCCAACTTATCCAGCATATGCTTTACGCAGAGTATGCCCTTCCAGCTGCAACCTATCACTGGGAAACACCCATACTCTCTTATTCACACACATGCACTACAGCCAATTTAGCTTACCCAGTTCACCTAAAGCATGCAGAGGAAACCCACACGACCAGGGGAAGAACATGCAAACTTCACACACAAATGCCAACTGACCCAACCGGGACTCGGACCAGCGACCTTCTTGCTGGGAGGCGACAGCAGTACCCACTGCGCCACCACACAGCCTCAAACTTATTATATAATATTTATTAACTTATTTTTATTGTTTTATTTAAACATTGTAAACTTTATTACTAATTAAAGGAGAACTAAACATGTAACTAAGCAAATACACTGAAGAGGAGAGAGAGAGAAAGAGAGAGAGAGAGAGAGAGAAAGAAAACACTAGTGCAATCTTACATACAGAAAATACAGGTCTACAATGTGCTGACCAGGGGCCTGTTTCAGAAAAGAGGTTAAGTGAAAACTCAGAGTATTTTAACCCTGAAATGAGAGAAACTTAGTTTTCCATTTCAAAATGGCAGGTTTGTCAAACTGGAGAAAGCAGGGTAAGTCAAGCCTGTTTCTGAAAGAGAGGTAACTTTAACCCGGAGTCAGTTACTGTGGTAACTTTCTCTGTGAACCTAACCTGGTCAGGAGCAGGTTTTATTCTCTAAACTCGGAGTTTCTTTCAGTCTCCCCCTCTTTTTTTAAAGACGAAGCAGTATTTCTTGCTTCAGCCCTAAGTTTTCATCCTCCTGTTTTAATGCTCATTGTGGATATGCGCATAAAAAACAATTAATGGAAACATCATGATGCACATCACTTTTAAAAAATATGCACTAAAAACATGCGCATAACTGAGTAGGATAAACGTTATATTCGATAAGAAAAGATGCGCATAAACTGCCATGAAAACACTTTTACTGAACAAATTCCAGTTTGTGCATTAAAGGTTTGTTATAAGGGATGATGATGAAAATGTGTGTGAATAGACACACCAGCAGGCTGAGCACACTGTAGAACATCTTATATGTTGTTTATTTCATTCTTAAACGCCTTAACCCTTTCAGTATTAATGTGTATGATTAATAACCTCCAGAGTGTCAAGAGCGTCGTTCTCCGCTTCTCATATGGCTTCAAATGCCCCCACTTTTTCTTTGTGTCAACATTGTCTTCTGAGGCGCAAGTACATTTCAATAAATAAAGATTGACGCAGCTTCTTCAATAGCAGTAAATTCTGTTTTTACTGTTAATATTTGGCACCAGTTAATCAGGAAGTGACGATGTTGTTCTCTTTGATTCGTTGGATGGAAACACTGCTTTATTCGCACATCTTCATGCGTATTCCAGTTTTGCACATAAATTGAATTAATATTTTTTGGATGAAAACATAGCTATTGCCTACATTTCAGTCACACAAAGAACAAAGTCACATACAGTAATGGCTTGCCCTTTTAAAATAAATAATTAGCTTAAATACACTGACCATCGACATGTACTGATTAATGAACTAGATTAATGGGATTATTACTCGTTCTAAAACTATTTTTAGTTCTGCTTTTATTCTAAATGTCATATCAACCTATATCACTCGATCAATAATAGAAGCAGACACACAAGTACACTATTAAATCTATTAAAACTGATTAACGTGTATAAAAATGGGAACGTGTGTAAATTTTCTTTTATAAATGTCACACATTACATATTTTATTATAGGAAAATATTTAAATGCTTTAGATGTAAAATTACGCATTAACTTGAGCAGCTGTTTTCCCACGCTAACTGTCTCTGTTTCACTGAAGCAGTGGTGTTGCTTTTTTAAATATATGGCCGTATTTGCTATAACATTGTATGAGCACATTAAGTTCAGCTGGAGAAAGAAATGCTGATCTCTTTTTTTTTTCCAGATGTTGCCATGGTGACTCGTAATATCTGTGCTCCATTGATAAGGCCTTTTTATAGTCACGGTGTGTGCGCTTAACTCTGAGTGGATTGACCTAACTCAGATCAGCTATTCTGAAACTGAAAACTCTTTTAAGTTTATAATCCTCTGTAAATCAACTCAGAGTTCAAGTTTAAACTCCGAGCTGGTTAAACCTCCTTACTAAAACAGGCCCCAGAACTACTATCCAGTACTGATTTGGGGGTGGGGTCTCAATCAGAAACCCCACCTAAAGAGTTTGGACATGTTTGTGAAGGGGTTCCCACAGTTTAATGAAAACAGTGTTAGGTTGGTGAAGAGAGTACCTATTTTCTCTAGTTTAATAAAATAAGGAACATTTCTTATCCAACAATTGTAAAAAGGAGGGTGAGGACTCGTCCAGTTCACAGGAATTATCCGCTTAGACTGAAAGCTAAAGTCTGCAAAATGAGAGGTTAAAGTGTTGCCAGGTGGTAGAACAGCAAATACACCAATAATTGGTCAAGGTGGAATATCAACAGTGGTAATAGCAGACAATGAGACATGTATATGTTTTTGAACATAAATAATGTACATCATCTGTAGGTAGAAGGTAGCAGCATCCTGAACAGCACAGCTCGCTATAGCATTGGCTCAACCAGTGGATTCTGCATTTGAAATATCTGTTTGCCCAACCAACAGCAGATGGAGGGAACCTGTTTGTAATTATTTGTGCGATTCTGCTGGGTGATGATAGTGGCGCAGATAAATCCTGCTCAATATCTCCTGCTGGAGCTCAGACTGGCATGTAATTGCCAGATATCTGTCCACACCTACACAAACAGCGAGCGTTGATGAAAACAGATATACTGAAGCGCTGAATGTCTGTGCCATAATAACAACAGCACCTGCTTTTGGTCTGTTGTATTGTCTAGAGGCTCACATTGGCCTGAAGGAGAGAAACAAATGGTGTAACGCATCACCATACTGACTGTGCCGAGCAAATACACGTATGCAGGCCTGTGTGTGTGGGAGTGTATCTCAGACTGTAAATTTAGACTGTTTTTACGCATCTTGTCTCATGGATGCTTTTTACTCCTATTGTTTAGTGTTTAGTGGTTAGCAATGACCATTACAATGATCATTTGAGATGGGGATTTTTGTTCTATTCCTTGACCCATGAGCCAGCTGTTTTAAAATGTAGTAAGTAGGTGTTTATGTAGCACAGGATTTTATCCACTGTTAACACTTTCTAGAAATTGGGGTGCTAATATGTTTAGACACGCTAGGTTTCATTTATTTAGTTTTGTCTTTAAACGTTATATACAGGTTATGGCTGAATAATTTAAAATAAAGACTCTACCTTAATGTATGCAAGTGTTTTAGAATATTAGAATGATTTCTGAAGGATAATAACACTGGAATACTGATGCTAAAAATTCAGCTTTGAAGTTAAATAAATATATATTAAATTTGAGAATTGATTTAAATAGAAGGCAGTTATTTTAAACAGTAAAAAATGTCAATGTTTTTGCTGTGCATTTGATCGAACTAAATGCAGGCTTGGTGAGCAAAAATATATTCATTTTATAAAATATTTCATATATATATTATTTAATATGTTGGATTTAAAATTCATATATCAAACATCTTACCGTTCTAAATATTTTGAAAAGTAGAGTTTGTGGTTTGACTTGCATTTATTAAAATATATAAAATAATAACTTAAATTATGAATGGGCAAAATCTATTGGTTTGAAGGGAACTGGCAAAGAACAAAGGTTTTTAATGACAATTAGTATCGTGTAATCCTTAATCTGTTCAATCAGGATCAAAATGCAAAGATGTGTATTTAATCTAAATGGTCTTTAATTTAATTGCCATAACATCATCATCATTCTCTGTCTTTCTAAACATGCAAACTATTTTTGTTAATTAAACTCTTTTTCAGGGATACCCAAACTCTGTCCCGGAGGGCCGATGTCCTGCATAGTTTAGCTCCAACTACCTTTAACACACCTGCCTGGAAGATTTTGTATACCTAGAAAGAGCTTGATTAGCTGGTTCAGGTGTGTTAATTGGAGTTGGAACTAAAATATGCAGGACACCTAATCTCCAGGACCGAGTTTGGGCAACCCTGCTCTTGTTAAATTGAATACCATTTTACTTTGCCTTATTTAAATAGTTGTAAAAATTCATCATTATTATATTTTTTGCCTGTTATTGTGATGCTTAAAAAAACCCTTGGCATTTTTGACCCACATGTCAAAAATGCAAATAGCAATAGATACTTATGCACAGAAAATATGCTTTAATGCATAAATAATTTTAATCATTTTAGAAATGTTGTGGATCACTCAGATACATCCCAAACTCTGTTGAAATCAGTTATGAGTGGAGTATCTCCAGCGGCTTCTATAATGTGTTCCAGATTTTAGAAAACTATGTTTGTAGGCCGGCGGTTCGCTAAGTTTTTTTAACGTCTAATGTGTGTAGTCATGGTTTAAAACCCCTTGAGGACAGAGAAAACACCAACCACATATGCAGAATGGACCTATTTAGTTTCTTCTTCATCTTTCCCATGTCCCACTATGATAAATCAGTCAGTGTTTACATCTGATCTCAGTGGGGTCTCAATTTAAATTTCCTCAAAACGGAAGACTTGTGGTTACAAATCAAGCCACAGGAATCAGTTGTTTTTTCCACAATGTTAGTTATCATGTGTTTGGTTTTAATGACTCCAACATTGCCGTTTTTGCTTTATTAATGTATTCTCAAGGCATTAATCACTGTTGTGTTATGCACGGTAAGACAGTATAAGAAATGAGTAGAGATTTATGTGTGAAATGGAGGTGTGTGTTTTGGAATGAAATGTTGAGTAAATCAAGTTCTTTTAATACTCCAACATGAAGATTTATGTTGTGAAAACACGTTCCAAGCAAAAACTCTCTTTAACCCCTTTAATCATGAAGCGTTCATGTCTGTCTCCTCCAGAAGGGGTCGCTGTTGTGTTGATTCTAAAAAAATGTTACTTCTAATTCTGCATTGATGTATAATACATTTTCTCTTCCGCTTTTGTTGCAGGGATTTGAGGATCCCAAAGACAAGTGAGTATACACAGCACATTTGTTTACATTGCATGTCATTTCTGGTATTAATAGTGGAATATAGAATTTGTCATGCACAGTACTGTATATGATTTAAAAGTTTTTCAGTTTAAGCATTTGAAATATGTTTCTTATGCCCATAAAGGCTGGAGTTTTAATTAAAAGATACAGTTAAAGTGTTAAAAGTATTTGAACATAATTACAGTGTGACACAATATCTCATGAATGCTGTTTTTTCTCCTGCTTATTACTTTAAATGTAAAAACATTTCTGGATACTAAATAAGTAACCCATTGTTGAATGGGTCAGATGAATAGTATTTATTTAAATGTTAGAAATAATAGATATCTACATTCTTGATGAATACAAGTATACATTTTTTTCAAAACAAACTAAAACATTAGTGACCTCAAACTTTTGATTGACAAACTCAAACAATGGGTTTAAAACCCACCTAAAGTTGAGTTAAAATTAGAGCTTGTCTTTGGATTTTGTAACGTATATAAAAACACATGTTACAGTAACATTATAATACTGTAATGTATACTTTATGTACAGTATTTGGAATCTGAGGGTTCAAAAAAATATAAATATTAAGAACCACATTGAAAGCCAACATATAAGAGCCCTATCACACACCTGGCGCAGTAAGGCACAAGACGCGTTTGCTGCGACATGTTGCTAGTTTCAGACCAGCACAACCCTAATTTTCCCATTTTCCACCATGCTGTTTAAATAGCAAATCCATTTGCACCACTTTGTGGAGTCATGGGTGTTTCGGTCTAGAAAAGAGGTGTGTTAAAGCACATTGTTGGCACATTACTATTTTGAGGAACTAAAATAGACTGTGTAATAGACCAGCTGAAAGCAAAAGTCCAGTGCAGAGCGCGTTAGTTGTGTGCCTCGCTTACACTGCTTAAAACATGCAGGATGTACAGCAATACATAAATATCTTTACAAAGGAAAAAGAGTTAAAGGAATTAAATATATAAAAAAATATTACTTTCTACATAAATATAAAAACCACTGCCTCCATGTCTTCATCTGGCGGTGGCTTTTTTCAGTTTATTGACGACAATTTGCTTTTGCATATTATTATTATTATTATTATTATTATCATTATTATTATTATTAGCAGTAGTATATATTATATGCATATTTATATTTGTTTTATTAAAAAGAAGCTTAGATTTGTCCACCTGTCAGGTTTTGGACCATGTGGGGCATCGAACATGTGTTTGGATATAACTTACAATTCATTATTGTTGCTCATTTATTTGTTTGCTGGAAATTAGAACTGAATTTAGAAATAGTTTTGAGATAAATCCTTGCACTTAACAAACAAAATTAGTAGGCTAATGGATGTCTTCAGTTAAATGTGCAACACCGTTTCCTCATCCACGAAAAAGAGAAAGAGAAAGTGAAGGCTTATTGGAGGAGGCTTGTTTTTTATCCTTTTGCTGCAGTTGGTCTGTTTAACTGTTTTCTCGCTTTTGGAGCGTTCAGTTTTTATACTTACTTACAAAGTCCGCCATGTAAATAACAACTGCGCCATGGCACGATGCAACTGACTCCTATAGGGAATGGGAGATGAGACTCTGATTGGTTTATTCTCAAAACACACCCATAAGAGAACAAGCACAACCCTGTTTGACTGTGCACCGCATCGCAGACTGTATTTTACCATCCTTAAAATAGCAAAAGTGGATTCGGACCCGCCCTTGATGCTTTTGCGCCATACGCTTTAGACTTTGCACCTAGATCATTAAAATAGAGCTCTTAGAGTTAATAGGCTAAATGTTGCTTTTTTGTATGAAGTTCATTGAGTGTTTATTAGTTAAACAATTGTCTATACACACTCTGAATTCATTAACCTAATTAAGCAAATGCTCCAACAGCTAACTCTGCTTTATTTTGATTCTGCTCAGTATCACAAACAAAGCCTTATTCATAATATGTGGCCTTTTATATGTTTTTGGCAGATTGGGGCAGAAAAAGTTAAAATAAATTATGGTTAAAATAGGAAAAGCGACATTAGAGGACACATTTTATTGTTGAAAGAATCAATAAATAGAGAAAAAAAAAAAAACACAAGGGATGTGATAAATGTTATGTTTGTTTCTTGCATTTAGAAAAGTGCAGAGCTGGTGCCACTGGCCTCATGCAGGTCAATTACTAACTAAGGCAAGAGATATATCTAAATGTGACCGAACTGCCAAATATCAATGAACTAATCAACACATGCACATAAATGTGAGAGTTTCCATCGCTTTTACAGCAGTGTTGGAAAGTGTGCTGAGTCTCTTGATGCTTAATGCATCACTGTGCTTGTCTAGCGTAATTACTAGTCAGCAGATATATATAAAGGTGTAAATACTGTGCAGGCAGTTTTTAATCAAGCATTACTGTATACTGTAACTGAGCCGCTACAAACCCTTTGGTGTACAAGGCTATTTTGATACTTTAGTGTCAAGTAAGCACTTTCACTGAATAAATACGCTTCCCATTGATGTAGGGGTTGTTGTTAAATGATAATATTTGGCAGAGATGCAACTATTTGAAAATCTGGAATCTGAGGGTTCAAATTAATTTTAATATTAAGAAAACCACACTTAAAGCCAATTTTTTTTTAAGTTAACAGGCTATTTTTTTTGCCAAACATGATATTGGTATTGCCAAAAATGATACTCGTTCAACATTAGATAGAGGTCACAAATGCTAAATTGTTCTATTTAAAAACATGTTTCATTGACTTTGGTTCATTTTAGTTAAAGCACAATGGAAGGTTGGAAGGAAATGTAGTAAAATTGTGAACTGCATGAACTTGACTGCTAATTTCTTGCCAATGATTTGTTGTTTCTGAACAATTCCAGAGTTCTGTTTTTAGTGGTAGGACTGTATAATAAAGTTTAAGGATAACTAATAGAGAAGGACGAAGGAGGTGGAAAACCAGTGTCTTGTGTTATCTAGACATTTCATTTTCAGAAACACGCAAGAGAACCTGAATCCAGAGGATGAGGTGGATGAGTTTCTGGGCCGCGCCATTGATGCTCGGAGCATCGACCGGTTAAGATCTGAACACGTCAAGAAATTTTTGCTGACCTTCAGAGAACCTGATCTGGAGAAGAAGGTACTGCTGTCATGTCTAAGACCAGCTTCCATGCCAAAATGTCATTGATCTAGTTTGTATTCTGAACTAGAATAGTGCACTATACCCTTTAGTGTCTGTCTGTCTGTCTATCTATCTATCTATCTATCTAACTTTCTATAGATCTATTTATTGTTAGTAAATCATTACATCTTAGATCAATGAGTTGTGTCTAAAAGTTTAATTCTGTAGGCAATTAGGAGCTACTTTGCTTCAGGCTTTATTCTGCAAGATTAATCGGCTGGATTTACAATACATATCAACTTTTATGTTGATATTTTACTTCAAAATAAAAGTTCTGTCATTATTTTCCCATCCTCGTATCTAAATGGTTTCATTTACTGTTGATTCCAGTGCCATTTTTGTGAATGAAGTCAATTAGAACTGAAATGATTACAACATAAAAAAATGAAGCAGCTTTGAAACAACAGGAGGATGTTGCAGTTGTGAACTGTGCCTTTAAGTAAAACTAATAATTAAATATGGTTTCCATTAATTGGATTAAAGCAGGGATGTCAAACTCAATTCCTGGAGGGCCGCAGCTCTGCACAGTTTAGTTCCAACCCTAATTAAACACACCTAATCAAACTAATTGAGTCATTCAGGCTTGTTTGAAACCTACTGGTAAGTGTGTTGTAGCAGGGTTGGAACTAAATTGTGCAGGGCTGCGGCCCTCCAGGAACTGAGTTTGACACCCCTGCATTAAAGCCTCGGCAACTCCTTGCAACAAAATAAGCACTTAAGTTACCAAAATTAAAAGGGAAATAAAATACAAACTTAAAATGAAATCATAAATAAATTTTCATTAAAAATGGTAAATGCTATAATAGTATATAGCTCTACTAAAATAGAGCTGATTACTGCTGTCTGGTTTAATAAAGTACCATATAAGCAGCAGTCAAATGCAATTTTTCGAAAGACATGAAATCATGTCGTGAAGAAAAAGCCAAAAACCTTTTTTTGTCCACTTACAAAATCATCAGTTGCTCATTTACTTGCGTTTTTATGCCTAACAAGCTTAAACAATTAATTTTCTGTGCTACGTGTAACAAAATATATGTCAGTTCTGCTGATTTCAGTGAAATTAAAATGATCTAACCTTCTAGGGTTTTTTGTAATAAATTGTGATGTGTGAGCATGAACTAACCATTCATCATATCATTAGTTAAAGCCACTGGTAAAACGTTTCTCGCAAAAATAGAGCAGAGAGCCAATCAGAGCTTCATTATGTTAGTAGTGTTGTGCAGGTGGCCTAAAAGTCTACAGCATAGCTGGAAAATGTGGCACGGTGCTGAGATGAATAGAGGAGATGAAATTCAAGGTCCAGGTTCAAAATGAGTCAGAGACTGACGTCTTTATGCCGCAGTGTGATTTGACTCATTTTATGGTTTTACCTTTGAAGCATTTGTCACCACTGACCTTCGCCACCTCAGAGAGATGCACAGACTCTTCTAGAAGCATGCAGGTTTTGTCACCATGTATCCAAGACTAGGGTTTCTTGTAATGGTGACGGAATGCTAATGGAAGAAAAGTCTATTTTTACATTTCTCTTCCATCTGCAGTCACGTTGACTTTTAGAAGGTTGTACGCTGGTTCTGTGACAGAGTTATCTTATCATTCCGAGACTTTATTCAGTTTATTTAAAGGAGATAATTACTTGTCTTGTTGTCTGTTGTTTGCCCAACATGTCTAGTTCCATGTCTAGTCGGTTTAATAAAAATTCACTTAACATATTTTAGTTTGTTTTATGTTCAGTATTTACATCATGTTCACTTTTTTACTCTATTCATAATAAAGCATATCAGAAAATATTAATAATACTAATAGTAATCATAGTAATAATAATATTATTAATAATAATAAATTTGTACCATTTATGTTTTATAGTTTCCTCTGGAAAACTGGTTTTACTTTATATATTTATATTTATACTTTATAAGTTGGGTTTATCCTCACTATGGAGAAGCCCATGGCTTTTCATACTGTCTATGGTTTTCATGCAAGGTTTGTATGAGTGCTGGAAAGCCTTAAAATTGCATATATATATATATATATATATATATATATATATATATATATATATATATAATACAATGCTTGAAACTGCTTGAAAATGCAATTGTGTTGGTTTCAAAATAATTTAGCATACTAAATATGTAATAATAATATGTAAATAATAATAATTAATCCTAATGAGTAAATGACAGTAATTCAGTATTGAGTTTTAGGCAAATATACCATCAATAATTTTACTTGAAATACTGTACTATACTATACTAATACTATACTATACTATACTATACTATACTATACTATACTATACTGTACTGTACTGTACTATGCTATGCTATACTATACTATACTATACTATACTATAATAGTAGTATAGTATCTGCATATATTATCTGCATACTACTAACTATTAATAGCAACCTGTACATATATTCATATAATGTAACATATACACTTGTAATCATGTTTATCTATCTGCACACTACTGATTATTAATAGCAACCTGCACATATATTCATATATTGTAAATCTGTTCATAGCTTATCCAACCTGTATATAATGTTCATAGTACATCCATCTGTAAATATCACCATAGTTTTCTATAACTGCACTTTATAACTTATTCCTGTATCCTGCACTTGCTGCTATTGCACTGCTGGTTAGACCTAAACTGCATTTCGTTGCATTGTACTTGTACATGTGTAATGACAATAAAGTTGAATCTAATCTAATCTACTATACTATACTATACTATACTATACTATACTATACTATACTATACTATTTTACAACTCTATACTGCACTACAATAACTCACACCTTTAGAAAAGGTTTAAGAATCAATGTTCTTCCACAAGAAGCATGCAGTTTTATTTATTCACTGCCAGATAAAATATGTATGTGTGTGTATATATATATATATAAAGGGACAGTTCACCCAAAAATGAAAGTGCTGTCATACATTACTCGCATTCAATACTAATACCGGACCTCATGATTTTGCCAAGTACAATGTGATCCTGGATTAAAATCTATCCATTTTTGTATGTAAATGTAATCCATACCTATTCCCTACCCCTAAATCCAACTATAACGGTAAATTATTCCCAAAATCAGAGGGTAACAATCATAGAAGTGCATAAACTTAACATCAACTGTAAACGTATCCCTTAATTCCGATTGGCTTATTGGATTGTTGTTCCAGAATTAATACAGATGTTAATCTAGGAACTTGTCCTACTTGGTGAAATCAGGTTGGTGTGTTCCACCTGCTTGAGTTTTTGTTCTATGTTGAACGTGAAGATATTTTCAAGAATGGAAACCATTATTTTTGGTTTCTAGCCAGTGGCTTTTGGTTTGCAACATTCTTCTAAACATCGTATTTTGTGTTCAACAGAAAAAAAAACTCATACAGTACATTTGTGAACCACTTGATGTGAAGTTAATGTTTTGGGTAAACTTTTACGTCAAGCAAGCGCTGAAGATTGAGAAATAATCTAACCTTTCACTTCTCTCTGTCAGTTAAACTTGCTTTCACATGGGATTTAAACAGCTTTTGTAACCTCACTCTTTTCTCTCTCGTCTTTCCTCACCTGCTATCAGTACTCTAAACAGGTGGATTCCAGTTTCGGTGCATATGTGGCCTGCGCCTCCCTCGTCTTTTTATTCATCTGCTTCATTCAGATCATCATTGTGCCGCAGTGAGTAGCCTTGCAGTGAAACACCCGATCCTACAAAATGCTCTGGTCCATTCAAATAAACCACAGGCTTAGAGGAGGTTTTGTTTAGATTTGAATGGCAATGTCACATAGACAGAATTGTTCATTGTATTGACCTTATTCTTCACATACATGCAGGCACAGCCATTGGAATATTTTTGGCTGGACGCTTCCGGTCTCATTCACTTCTATTGATTTTTAGATGTTAAAAACAGCTTGTTTTGCTGCTTAATGTTGCAAACTGATATTTTATATTATCATTCTACTTTTTATGTATAGTCATGAAAATACTTGTTAGTAATTTCTCCCATAGGCAGCTGAATCTGCATTTCTAACATCGCCAAAATGAGCACAAGAATAAGGTCAATAAGAACAGCCAGAAGAGTCAGAGCAGGTTTTTCTTCTTCCATAGAGCAGATTTTCATTATGATTATTAATAACTATTGTTTGCTTTTTGTTGTTTGGTAGTTCTGGACTGATGGTTGGTTTCTATGTGCTCTGTCTGGTCGTTCTGATGGTGGTCATGTTCATCTCAGCCATTTACTCCTGTTTTGGGGTGAGTAAATTATTGCTTTTGTCACTATATAATATATTTATTAATGAAATATTGTGATGTAAAGAACATTTAGAGAATATTTTATAATGTTGTATTTATTTTGTTTTTTACTATTTAGATTTTTTGTCGAAGTATTCATTTATTTTTTTAAATGGGTTTTTTCATGCATTTTATTATTTAATGTTATGATATATGTGATATGTTTCTGCCAGTGGAGCTAATGAAGCTGGTATGCAATGAACACAAATACTATTACCCAAGTTAAAATTTTAAATAAAATAAAACAAAAAAAATGTAATTGAATTAAGATAAATTTCATTAAATTAGGCGGCACTGTGGCGCAGTGAGTAGCGCTGTCGCCTCACAGCTAGAAGGGTGCTAGTTCGAGCCTCTGCTGGGTCAGTTGGCATTTCTGTGTGGAGTTTGCATGTTCTCCTCGTGTTCGCATGGGTTTTCTCCGGGTGCTCCGATTTCCTCCACAGTCCAAAGACATGCGGTATAGGTGAATTGGGTAAGTTAAATAGTCCGTAGTGTATTTGTGTAAATGTGCATGGGTGTTTCCTAGTGATGGGTTGCAGCTGGAAGAGCATCCACTGCATAAAACATATGCTGGATAAATTGGCGGTCAGTTGCACCGTGGCGACCCCTGATTAATAAAGGGACTAAGCCAAAAAGAAAAATTAATAAATTAATTAAATTAAACACCAAACAATGAAATGAAATAAAATAAATGGCAATATGGCATTTTGGGCCCTACAGCAGCGCAGCAACAACACAAAACCACCATCCCCATTACTAGAAAAACAAAACACCTTAACGTGTCCTTCACAGACCATTTCCTAACACTCTTACAGAGCCATCATGGCTAAATCCAAGTGTTTGTCAACCTTCAGATTCTCCACTAAAATAACTTGAGCGCATATGATTGATATGGGGCTTTTAGCTGCGTAACTTTGAGCAGGTCTCCAGAGACACTGAGTCACACAGAGCAAAGCCAGAGACACAATAAAGCACTGGCAGCTCATTTGTGCACACTGAGCTGGAACCGGCACCGTGCTGCTCTACAGGCGACTGGGGCGGCTCTTTCACAGCTCTTTCCTCAGAGATGCTGCCGAATTACATTCAGAACTTCCTGACCTGTAAAAAGTCAAGCTTTCATAGGATCTCTGTTAACTATGATACACAAAGTCTTTTTGATCTTAAGTTTATTAAATAAGTCACTCGTTCTCATCACAGCTGCATTTATTGGTTAAAATAAAAAATTCGGAATTTTTTTTTTTATGACACAATGCACTTATTTTGACTAAGTGGTCAGTCATATTACTTTTATTATATTATATAAAAGGTAAATATAGAAAATAGCAAGATCTTAATTAAAATCTCTGAACTTCTGGGCTGTGACATTTATACTGTTGGGCTAAATAAATTTGGCAAAGCATCATCTTGCTTTACAATCTCTCTAATTTCAGCATCAAACTGTGCTTTGATTGTAAATAATCCATGGTAAAATGAAGTAAACAAAGGACAAGTTCTTAGGATGTGGTCTGGAAGTTAATTTATTCTTTCCTTATGTCGAGATCAGAAGGAAGGCAATTTAAATTTTTCTTCACAATTTGTCACTGCAAAGCATCTTGTTGTTTTCAGAGCACAAATAGTTTTTTTTGTTTCTGCATAGACCTGCAATTGCCTCTTGTTATTTACCTACTACAGTGCAAATTGGTGGCGGAGCCTAGCAGAGAATAGCTGGGTTTCCATCACCCTGTGCTGATGTGCATTTTGAAGTATCGCATGAGAATCGAGTGATGGAGATGTCAAATTTGGAATAAAAATCCCTTAAATAAAAAAGATTTTATGCTCTAACTATTTGGACTAAAAGTGTTTTGATAATACTGGGAGATGGAAACACATTTGTCAAATAAACTATAATGTACTTAAGCGAACATTACACCCACATGACTAATCTGCTGTCTCCATTTTGCTTGCATTATATTACTTACTAGGTTACTAGGTTACCAATACTACAGTCAGCCGCTCTAACAACTTGATAGAAACGCATCTAATTCCCATTTGTTATTTTCTTTCTTTTTTACGAACTTTGAAAAGATTCACTTCACATTAAGGTATAAACCCGGCCAGTGATGTAGAAACAGGAGTTAATCTTCTTCTGTAAAGTTTAGCCACAGTATTATAAACTATAAATATATAAATATAAACTATAATAAATACACTATAAAAGCGGCACTTTTTGGCTGATTGGCTTTAATAGGGTAAATGCACAACTAGTATTTTTCCCCTACCGATAAACTTCCGGTGATAGGTTTTTTAAATTTTTAATTTGATAAGATTCCTTTTACAGCATCGATGTTGTAATGTAAATAAAATACAATCAGTTAAATAGAATTAAGCACTGATCAGATCACACGATTTTTATTGTCGGTTACGAAAGTCACTTTGTCAGATTATGCTTTTTTTTTTTTTCTCGATTAAAATCTTGACTTGTTGTGAGAAACAAATGTAAAAAACAAATGTGCCAGACTACATGTTCCTTCACGATCAGTCATCCTGTGAAATAACGAGCGTTATTTTCCAATTTCCGTTATTTTTCAATTTATTTTCTTTTTCTTTTTTGAAAAAACTGTTGTGAAATAAATTGAATGCAGTGCTTCTTGTACATTATGAGACCTACTTTATATTGTATGTCAATCAGGCAGTGAACATCATTATTTTCAAAGAAAACATTTTTAAACTAATTAAAGTTTAGAGCTTGCAGAATAATATATATATATATATATATATATATATATATATATATATATATACGTGTATATATATATATATATATATATATATATATATATATATATATATATATATATATATTGATAATTATTTTGATTTTATCAACTCATGCCCTCTTTAAACCTAAAACATACTAATGTACAAAGGGAAAAAAAAACATGAAGCTGTATCACGCATTAATTGTTTTAATGTATGAAAACTCCCTTTTGTCTGAGAGTATGCTTATAGCACATGGACAAGAGTAAAATGTCCTCAGAAACTGTGGATTTATGTGTAATACGACTCAATTCAGTACGTGCTTCTTTCTATTTGCAGTTTTTCCCCATTCCTCTGCAAACTCTGTCTAAAAGGATTGTTCAGTCCAGACTCAACAGCACCCTGGTGGGGGTTTTTACAATCGTCCTGGTCTTTATCTCTGCTTTCATTAACATTGTGAGTCCCACAAGCCTTAACCTTCAGATTCTGTGTCTTTATCTTTGTAAATGTTTGTGATTGTATACATTAAGTATCTATGTCCTACAGCAGTAATATTCTGCACTAGCAGCCATATACTATAGCTTCTAATCCTATAACTGTGTGTTAAGCATCAAAAGGAACTGTGAAAATTGAAATCTTGCATCTATGCAGATCTTGCAGAGTTACTAGTGCAACATAAATCATATGCTTTGAAGTAATTGACTTTTGACATCAAATTATTTCATAGCTTGTTAATGAAATTATCTGTAGCGGATAATGAAATTAAATTCTGTCATGTGTATCCATCTTCATCTGTCCTTTAGTTCACCTGCAGTACGGATGACCTGAAGACGTGTTTAGGGCAGGAGTTTAACATCAGCCCCAGCAATGTGAACGCTTGCCATGCCCATTTCTCTTCCCTCAACTACACACTCTGGTCTCAGAACAGGCTCTGCAACAGTTCGTCACCAACATGCAATTTCCCAGAGGTGTGCCACTGTTTTTAAATTAGTTCGTAGTTTTAGTGGCTGGTTGTAGTCAGTTTTTTTTTTTTTTTTATAAAATTTTGCAGTGTGAATTATAAAAAATAATGTGTGCATATGATATTTTTTTAGATACTGTTTATGGTAATATTTTGATTGTTTTAACAATGTGCAGGCTGACATTGTTGTGTATTAGTGCATCAGAAATTGCATACTTCTCACTTCTGGACTATATATTCATAGTAGGTGAGAAGTACATGTTTGACATTCTACCTTAGGCAAAATTCTGAAGTGCCTTCTAATGGACACTTTACTGTCCCATAAGGCAACAGGAGAGAATTTATGAATAGGAGTGAAGCGATGTGACTGACATAGGTAAGCCATGTAATGATGTTAACATGGCAGATGTAGTACATCCAAACATCATTCATACTGTACGAAACACATTTATACTATATGAAATTGACTTTTTTAACTGTTGGGAAGTATGCTCAAATTCAAATGTATTACCTACACTACACGCAGCTGATGTCACTCATTTTGCTAATGACATACAAAAAGAGCCCAAAATTAGACAATTGGAAGGCGCTTAAAATGACCAAAACGATTTATTTGAATTCAAGTTATAAAGGCAAAAACAAACATCCTTTTTAATGTTTGTGATATTTTATATTTAATATCACACTATAGTAAAAGCACCATTTTCCTAAATACAAACATATTAGTGCAATTTACAAATGTAATATCGATCCACTTATCTATCTATCTATCTATCTATCTATCTATCTATCTATCTATCTATCTATCTATCTATCTATCTATCTATCTATCTATCTATCTATCTATCTATCTATCTGTCTGTCTGTCTGTCTGTCTGTCTGTCTGTCTGTCTGTCTGTCTGTCTGTCTGTCTGTCTGTCTGTCTGTCTGTCTGTCTGTCTGTCTGTCTGTCTGTCTGTCTGTCTGTCTGTCTGTCTGTCTGCCTGCCTGCCTGCCTGCCTGTCTGCCTGCCTGCCTGCCTGCCTGCCTGCCTGCCTGCCTAGCAAGCGTTCTATCTGTCTCTGTCTGTCTTTCTATCTGTCTGTCTAGCGTTCTATCTAGTGAGCAGTCTCAGGCCCCGTTTACACTAGTGCGTTTTAGTTTTAAAACGGCGTTGTAGAATGAAAACGATCCGCGTCCACACTCGCGTTTTACCCAGCGTTTCTGAACTGCTCTCCGTCCACACCAAAACGCTGAAAACGCACATCACGTGACCACACACACACACTCTCGGGCAAGCGCTCCAGCATTCTACCCAGATGAGAGCTCTGCTTGTCGGACTGCTCATCACGCATCTCCCGCTGGATCTAATCTCACTATATTTGCTAAACGTGATATTTCATTCATGTTGTTGTCTTTATCTAACGACATATTCCCTGACTTTGGTCATTGGAATCTATTAAGTTACTTGTTCACGGGTAACATGTTTTGGTTAAGTGCAAAGATAAGTTAATGATTAATCCAGGTACATTGACTGATCGCTTGCCTTTATTTCCTACAATGTATAAACTTATTGTATGTTATACTTTTATAATTGTCGATTATTAAAACTGATATTCAGCAAAAGAGAGGGTGCGTTTCGTATTTTCACTGAAATTGAAAGGAGGCAGTTGTTATCGGCTCCGTTTTGTTATAAATATCCACACAGTGAAGATGACGCTCATATATGCAGCACGACGCCTCAACATTTCTGCTGTCTGTTAAGTTGCTAATATTAAAATGAAAATAGGCAGTTCCTTAAATCATGTTTACATTTTATTGTTGAGAAAGTGAAACAACGTAGCCAAGGTGATGTGAATGAAGTTATAAAGTACACTGTTTCCTTTGAAGATTTACGCGTGTCCTCGGTATGTTTTCCATATCAAACTGAGAAGGGGGAGACTGCAGCCTTGATCAACCTTGCGAAGTCTTAACTTAAAATAAGAGGATGCGAGACTGAACTGTGTGTGTTAGGCTACTTAATATTCAGGAAAAGCCCCAATCAGATAGGCGAACGTTTGCAGCCCCGCCTCCGTTTTCAGATGTCTCCGTCTTTCCCCATCCACACTGAGACGGAGCAGCAGCGTTTTAGAATGAAAACGGCGTCTCCAGCGTTTTCAAAAAGCTCCGTTTTCGGCGCTCGAGAACTCCGGCGTAGTGTGGACGGATGGCGTAACCGTAGCAAAACTTATGCGTTTTCAAACTAAAACGCACTAGTGTAAACGGGGCCTCTGTCTGTCAATTGTTTTATCTATCTTTCTATAGTTTTATCTTTTTTTAAATGAAATTTTTATTAGTTTTTTCTTAAGATAACATACAATATCATGCAAATATATAAAATTTATACAAGTTCTTGACAATTTATACATTTGTTCATCAATTTACAAAATAAATAAATAATTTGACAACCAGGAACAAAAGTATAAAAATACTGAAAATAATGGTACAGGGCATAACAGAGATAGATACATTCATATTTCAAGTGAAGAAATGAAAATCTCCCATATATCTATTTCCTTGTAATCGCCATTCATTTTGGTCAACATTTTCTCAGATGATACATTTTCAATCACGGAGTCCATCCATAATTTAAGTTTCTATAGTTTTACTATCTACCGTTTTATCCATCTATCATTCTGTCTATCGTTCTAGTTATCCATTTATCCACCTACCCACCTACTACAGCAGCTCAACAAACAATAATTATTCCATTTCCGACACAATTCATATTTTTCGGTTTTGCAAAATCAAGTAGTTGGCTGGAGCAGAGCATTTGTGCATCTCAGAGAAACACTGCTGTTTTATGTTCCTTAATAAATTTGTTTTCCAACTTTTATTTGTAAAGACATTGCTTAATTTCTAAATAATTGCTTGTTCAGAAAAAATATAAAAACAGTGTAAATAAACTACCACAGATTCAAGTTAACAGTAACAGGAACAGTACCAGGCTCTAAAATCCAGCCTGACTATTTTTTCTGGATTTTGATCCCTTCCTGCATATTTTTTTCAAGGGTGTCTTTTTAGGCTCTGCTTGTCTTTTGATAAATCATACATGGAATATTTTAAAAGGAAAGTAAAAGACTGATGTGAATGTTTTTTTTTTTTTTTCTCATCCTCTGCAGTACTTCTCATCATGTGTGCTGCTCAGTTTGCTGGCCTGCTCAGTTTTTCTACAGGTCAGCAGTATCGGTAAACTCTTCCTCATGCTCTTCATTGAGATCCTGTATGTGCTTATCATGGAGGTGCCCGAGGTCAGCCTTTTTGACAATGTGGACCTGCTGGTCATGGCCAATGCCCTGTGAGTATCTGTCTTCATTTTCTTGAATTATTAAAAACATTTACATCAGTATTTAGTTACATTCCTGCAAAAAAAAAAAAAAATAACAATAATAATAATAAATAAATAAATAAATAAATATATATATATATATATATATATATATATATATATATATATATATATATATATATATATATATATATATATAGAAAAGGCTGATCATTTATGCATGTTTTGTGCTGTATTTTAAAAGCTTGTCTTTATTCATACTGAGACCATTATGCATCCAAGCTGTGTTTTGTCCTGTGCTTTTTATGGGTGAATTGGCCCAAATTTAAGGCCCGGCTGAATATTGTCTATTATTTTGCCTAGATTCAAGTTGTGTCTAAATTTATAATGCACACTACCAAACTTAGTTTTACACCTGGCTCAGGGATGTAACATAGTGAGGGAGACGACACGGTGAAGTGTAATAATAAAAAAAAGATTCATTTAACACAATTGTAAATAATATAATCAAAACATCAGTATCAGTATGTTCAATCAGTGTGAAAAGCAAGTAAATGGATGTGGTACTTGTTGTCAGTGACAGTGCATGGATGCGAAACAAAGCATGGCCAAATTGGAGTGCAGCTCTGACCAACTGCCAAGTGAATGGACAGCAGCCCTTACAAACTCTCTGCCGGGGTTTAAATAAGAGCGCTGACCACAATCTAGAATAAATCAAACACACCGAATCACAAAACGCAGTCCTAACAGTAGTCATATGTTTAATTGATTTCAAAATGCTCATTAGGGCTGAAAATTTGTATTTATTGGTTTTGATAAAAGAGGTAATATTTTAACATTCTGAAATTAGCATTTTAGTTTAAAGTACAAATGAAATCAAAACTAACCATATGATTTTGTTAGCTCACATTACTAGTTTTGTGGTGAACAGTTTATCTGTGCAAGTCATTAATAAAAAAAAGAGGTTTGCCCTTGTAATCTAAAATTAAATAAGTGCACTTCCTGTTTGTTTTCAGTTAAATTCTTAGATGATGTAATTTTGAGGTATTGGGCGTGGCATACTTAAACACACTGGTCCAAATGTCAGTTTTGACAACAAACAGAAATGCGTGGAGGAGGCGTATGTTAGGTTGTAATAACTCTCCTCAAACCCTTTTCCCCATCTTTCTGAATGAAATGCCTACTTTACTACATCTAATCAGCTTGCAGTAGAAAAAACAAGCCACGCTCACTGTTTTCTCATTTAATATTCTGTTTTTCTTGGAACTACATCACAATACCAAAAAAATCTTTTTGATATATACTTTAAAGTGTTGATCTGAAACACACAAATGTTCTGCCTCAGCTTAGGAAGTAATTTTTTGCCAAAACAGAGAGAGAAAAAAAAAAAAAATCTAAATCTAAGTTACTCAGTTGTAACTTTTGTTGAACTGTTGTATAAAATCAATATCTCATTTGGAATCACACTCATGCACTGATAGTCTGTTTAAAAATGGCACTCTTGGTTGTGTAATTTTTTAAACTGTATTATATTTTATAAATATAAAAACAATTCTCATACAGGGTTATTTTTGCTTTCATATCATGTCTCTAAAACTACATTCTTATAGGCTTAGTTAGACATTGAATGCTTTTGCACTCTCATTTTTTGTTTTTGTTTTTTTCCAGAGTGAATGATATAAATGATAATGCCAGCTCACACATAGTTAAAACAACAGTTAGGATGTTACCATTGATAAATATCACACACCCCTAACTAAGTCTGTCTTGAAGATAAAGTGTTGTGCTCTAACCTAATGCGTTTGCTTTTTCTTTGTGTTCACAGAGCGCCTAACAATGGAACATGGTAAGATTAAATCGGTGAACTGACAGAAATGCCACTGAGCAGCTGTTGCCAGTTGTTTTCATTGCATGCCAGTAGAGATTGATGTCTCCTTATGAATATAAATAAAATGATACTGTGATAATATGATGTTACGATTGTTATCTGGTAGCAAATTAACATGCTTTAGTCCATCAATCTTTTGAACTGTAGTGTGAAATTGTTGACGCTTGTGCTTTGTGTCTGTTTTAGTATTGTGGACACCCGGGTTCCTCTAAAGATCGTGACTCCAGTGGTCATCACAGTCTTTGTGCTGGCGCTTTACCTTCATGCACAGCAGGTTGAGTCCACCGCCAGACTCGACTTTCTATGGAAGTTACAGGTATGTTTTACTTTGTGATGATGTGAATCTTTTGTAAAAGGCTGTTAAATAAAGAAGCCATTTTTCAGGTTCAATTTCCACAGATTTTTTACTACTACTCTTTGTTCTTGTTATTAAGGATTTTTCTGTAGCACTTCTTACTCTGCTGTTCAAAAATTCATTTTTTAAAGGGTCAGTTCTCCTAAAAATAAAGATTATATCGTTATTTACTCTCCCTTATGTGTTTCTTAAACCTTTATGAGATTCTTTCTACTGCTAAACATAAAGGATGATATTTTGATGAATGCTGATTTCTGGTACCCATCAACTTCCATTGTAGGAAAAAAATTACTATGGAAGTCAATTGGTGCCAGCTTTCGGCATTTTTTTTTAAATGTCTTCTTTTTTGTTCAACAGAAGAAAATCTTTCACTTTTCATTCTTAATTTTGTATCAATTAGGACTGTTTATAAGTATTTAAAACCAATCTTAACAATTATTTAAATGTGTTTATAAAGAGAACAAATATGCTGTATTATTTAGCATTTATAATAGTATTTTTAATGCTTATTGTTGATACATTTCATATTTCAATGCACATATTGATAAAACATACATCTTTCACTTTGCTTAAAGCCTTCAACTATGACTCAGAATATAGTAAGTATAAATAATGAATAGGGCTCTTATGAACAATACAAAACCATTTATTTATTTGAAAGAACAAAATCACTATTAAGTCTTTGTAGCTGTTAATAGCATAACAACAATTTAACATTGCAAACTGCATCTTTATAAATACACTCATGATTACTAATTAATACTTATAAGTCATGTATAATGTGTTTTGAATCTGTGCAGTATAGTGTCCCCTTCACTATACTGGGGCATTAGGACCCACACAGACAGCAGGTTGAGCACCTCCTGCTAGCCTCTCTAAGGGCGTACTCACACTGTACATTTGCCTTGAACCGGGCCAAAGCACGCTTGTCCTCCCTCACGTCTACCCCCGACGGCCCGCACTCACTTTACATTCGGGCCTGGGCATGCTTAAGTCATCGATGATGCACTAGTCAGCAGCGTTCTTGCTCAGCAGTGGAGATTTCTTTAGTTATGTCGTTTGTCATGCAGTGACATGCAGTCAAATATTTTGCCGAACAGGTCAGCCGCTTTTGACGCTCATAAACAATCATAAAGTCCTCGTGCTGCAGGAGTTAGGAGGTTTGCTAAAGGTGTGCAGCTTTCGTGTCTAGTGAGGGGTTTGCGTCTTTAACCTATGACAGTTTGCATTCACTAAACAGTAAGAATGATTAATAAGTCCATATGAAACAGTCCCTTAAAAGTCACGTCTCGCTTTCAGTTTCGGGCTTAGGTGCGCTTTGCACTCACACACAAACGTACCGTGCCAAAGCCCAAGTGAATCACACTCAGGCACACCTCTTCCAACCGGGCCAGGGCCGGCCAAGTGAACCGTGCCTGAGCCCGATTCAGCGCACTCATACTTCTAAAACAATCCAGGAAACGTGCCTGGGCACGGTTAGGATAGCATAGTGTGAGTAGGCCCTAACACCACTTCCAACAGCAACCTAGTTTTCCCATGTGGTCTCACATCCAGTTACTGACAAAGCTCAGCCCTGCTTAGCTTCAGGGATTAACCAGTCTTGGGCTGCAGGGTGATATGGCTGTGCCATTATAAACTTGTGTTTCATAGAAAATGTTACCAGAAGTCGGCGCCAGTGGTGTAGTGGTTAGTGCGTCGACACATGCACTCCAGTGCTCGCGGCGACCCGGGTTCGATTCCGCCTCGCAGTCCTATGCCGATCCTTCCCCTCTCTCTGCTCCCCATGCTTTCCTGTCTATTCTCTACTGTCCTTTCAAAAATAAAGGTGAAAACCCCTAAAAAATAATTATAAAAAAAAAAGAAAATGTTACCAGAAACTCATATTAGTTTTAAACATTTTTTTGTTTTTGGATGAACTATCCTTTAATTTTTTTTTCTAAGAAAGCATTAAATTGTCTAAACTTTTTAATAAAAATCCTTTGAACTGTTACAGTAGAGTTCATTTAAAGGCTGATCAACTCTTTTAAATGTGATTTATTTTAAGTGTCGAAGTTTTTACTGTATGTAGATTCTTACTCATTTTTGTAACTGCAGTCATTTTGTTGGTGCAAAAAGGAGCATTTACTCTATCCAGTTGCTTAGTCTAAATATAGTTTTTTTATTTGTAGCATAAAATGTTTTTGTGTTTTTGTCTTTGTAGGCCACAGAGGAAAAGGAGGAGATGGAAGAACTTCAGGCTTACAATCGTCGGCTTCTTCACAACATCTTGCCCAAAGATGTGGCTGCACACTTTCTGGCCCGCGAGCGGAGGAATGACGAGCTGTACTACCAGTCGTGTGAATGTGTGGCTGTCATGTTTGCCTCCATCAGCAACTTTTCCGAGTTCTACGTGGAGTTGGAGGCCAATAATGAAGGTGTTGAATGCTTGAGACTTCTCAACGAGATCATCGCTGACTTTGACGAGGTACAGTACAGCAGATCTTTCATAAATATTTGAGCTTGAGCCTGTAAACTTGCTTTATGCAAGAATTTAACATTTTGAAGCATTTCTGATTCTGAAAAATATATGTGAAAGCTGTAAATAAACTTAAAATAAACCAATCTATCTTTATTTGCTACTGAATACAAAAAAAAGTTACAGTATGCTTAGACTTGAAGGAAATGGTTATGTTAGTATTTTTTAAACAACAGTCGAAGACAGGGGTGCCTATTCCTGTTCCTGGAGATCTATCTTCCTGCAGAGTTCAGCTGCAACCTTGATCAAATCAAATGCACATGTCTTTTAATTACCAAGTGCCCCGTTAGATCATACTTAGTTAATTTAGTTGAGTTTGATCAGGGTCAGAGCTGAATTCTGCAGGTAGGCAGATCTCCAGGAACCGGATTGACACCCCTGGTCTAAGAGGTCCATGCTTAGAGTATCCCTCAATTGACTCAGCCAATTCAAGACAAAGACAACAATGGGACGTTGAACATCAAAACAAAGTTTAATACAGCTCTAAATTTCATTTTTTTCTACAATTAAAATTTCATAAGAACAATTAATGACTATCATGCATTTTTACTATGATTTACAGATGACATGCACCAAATTATTCTTTGTAACAATTTTTACATACCATTATTTGTCTTAGTATCCTTCAAACCACTTGTTTTACTTATTTTACATACATTTATCTTTAAATAATATTATTTTATTAAAATTTTGGAATAATTTGATGAAGCTAATTAAAACAGTAGACACATTGTTTTCATTTAATATGTTTTATATATAAAATCAGTTTAATAAAATTGACACCAAAATGGGATGTCTCGCCTTTTTTACCCTTGACCTTTTTTTTCAATGTGTTTGGATTATATATTGTTTCTCAGTTAGGCTTGTCACAATATATATTTTTTGTCGTACGATGAATTGCACCAAAATATATTGCGATAAATATATTGTTGTCATCTTAAGACCATTTTATGCCACTCATATTAATGCCAGAATGACAAAATAATATAGCATTTTAATGCATGTACAGTTTTTCAAAGAACACGTGATATTTATTTCTTAAGAATATTTAATTTAATTAAAGTCATTTTAACAATTTAATAAGTAGACATTTGAATCAGAATGTGAAAATCTAGTCCTAAACATAATATATATAATAAATATAAATATATATATATATAAATAATAATAATAATAATAATAATAATAATAATAATGACATACAGCTGAAGTCAGAATTAATAGTCCCTCTTTGATTTTTTTTTCTTTTTCTTTTTTAAAGGGGCTAATAATTGAGTGGGGCTAATAATTGTGACTTCAACTGTATGTTAATAAAAAATGCAAGGTAACAATAGGTAAATAGAACTAGACAAAAATAACAGGTCCCAGATGAAAATATACTAAAGTAATTTAAAATAAATAAACAATACGGACACTAACACCTCCAATAGAGATCAGCTAAAATGTTGCTCATGTTGTTTTGTTTTTTGTATGGGCGATTATATATTGCATCACCAAAAACGATTGATGTCATGGCCATGTGTTGTGCGAAAAGTCTATGTTGTTCATTGTGACAGGCCTATTCTCAATAGGAGTGTACTGTAGAAAAACCTATCGAAATAATATTTAATTCAGTTCTTACTTTTTTGTTTTCACATTAAACATGTAGTTGATTTGGTATTTGTTTCAAATTAGATTTGTGTGTGAAACTGAGCCTGCATTTTCCCACCTTCTTGTTTTCTTTCTTAAACGTAATAACTCCTTAATAACTCCTCATTAATGGTGGAATCCATCATTTCATTTCTTCTTGCAGATCATAAGTGAGGATCAGTTCCGTCAACTAGAAAAGATCAAAACCATTGGCAGCACCTACATGGCTGCATCTGGGCTTAATGACTCCACTTATGATAAAGCAGGAAGGTCACACATTCGCGCTCTAGCCGACTATGCCATGCGCCTCATGGACCAGATGAAGTACATCAATGAGCACTCTTTCAATAACTTCAAAATGAAGATCGGTGAGGATCTGACTATGTGAATAACCAACACATTTGAGCAGTTAGATGATTATTCTGTCTTTTATTTTTTTGTTATTTTATGAAACAGACATTTTATCCTTTTCTAAAGTTTTTTTTTGTAGCAAGCAATTCTGTAGGATTACAGTGGTCTGTCAGATGAGAAATGACCAGAATATATTTTACTGTTTTTAAATGAAAAACATTCTTCTGTAGGTCTCAACATGGGTCCTGTTGTGGCTGGAGTCATAGGAGCTCGTAAACCACAATATGACATATGGGGGAATACTGTGAATGTAGCCAGCCGTATGGACAGCACTGGGGTACCTGAGAGAATACAGGTGAGATTCATGGTCTGTGCAATTTGTGCAGATCAGTGTTTATGCACACACCTACCACTTTGTTAGGTACACCTGTCCAACTCTACTGTACATCTATAAACGCACAACATATCCAACCTTGAGGCGGATGAGCTACAGCAGCAGAAGACCACACCGGGTCCCACTCCTGTCACCTGAGAACAGGAAACTCGGATGGTAGGGTCAGAATTTGAAAACAACAACATGAAAGCATGCATCCATTCTGCCTCGTATCACTGATTCAGGCTGGTGGTGGTGGTGTAATGGTGTGGGGGATATTTTCTTGGCACACTTTGGGTCCATTAGTACCAATTGAGCATTGTGCCTACGCCACAGCCAACCTAGGTATTGCTGCTAACCATGTACATCCCTTTATAACCACAGTGTACCCATCTTCTATGGCTACTTCCTGCAGGATAACGAGCCATGTCATAAAGCGTGAATCTTCTCAGACTGGTTTCTTGAACATGACAATGAGTTTACTGTACTCAAATGGCCTCCAGGGTCAACAGATCTCAATCCAAAAGAGCTCCTTTGGGATGTGGTGGAACGGGAGATTTGATTTATGGATATGCAGCTGACAAATCTGCAGCAACTGCGTGCTGCTATCATGTCAATAGGGACCAAAATTGACTGAAGCATCTTAGAGATGTTGCCAAAGTTCGTCTGGATTTAGTTTGTCTCAGTTTATGTTTCTTCATGTTGTTCCAGACAGACTAATGATCAGATCAGATCTCTGTGTGGAGCACAGGCTATTGTCAGACTTCTTGAAAAATACCAGTGGGCTAAGACTTTTTCACAGTACTGTATGTTTGAGTTATTGGTAGGGCCTGACAGAACTTGTAGACATTTTTTGCTATTTCTATGGAGAATTTCGTAAAAAATCTGTTTATTTGTCTTCATAATTTATATTAACATCAATTTATATTGTTTGTTTATTGTTTTTTTTTTTTACTGTTTTTTACACTTCAAGATAAAGTTGCCCACACATTTTGACTACTAGCCACAGATAATCTCCTCTATTGCATACTTTCTCCGTGATATCTAATTATACAGATTGCTGATCTTCCCTGTTCACTGTTTACAATTTTATGACCCACCCTTAACTCAGAAGCTCGTATATCTTATACTGTATACTATATTATATAGTTTGTTGCAAATTCTCTGAAGGACTTTCATATCCAATTTCTGACTCAAAAAACTTGAATTTATGATAATTCAGATAAGCATGTGAAGATTTTCACTAGTGCTAGTTTTTTCACTAGTGCTTGAAGTTTAACATTCTGCTTAACATACCGTTCAGTTAACAAATGCTCATGTGCCCTTATTTTCTCTGTGTTTCAGGTCACAACGGACCTTTACCAGGTTCTCAGCTCCTATAACTATACACTGGAGTACAGGGGCGTTGTCAAAGTGAAAGGCAAAGGCGAAATGATGACCTACTTCCTAAACGGAGGACCCAATAACAGTTAACCCTCAGTGTCTGACCTTCAGAACATTATTAAGATGTCACAAGGAGGAGATGCTGTTGGCCAAGCTGTTGAGACGGTCATCCTTCTGGACCAATCGCAATAGGATTTGTTCAGAACCAGTCGTCACTCAGTCCAAGAGTGGCCTCTTTGCACACTGAGACTTCCTATAGGATTAACGGAGGCTTTGCCTCCTTTATTTAAGGTATGGAACAGCTCAGAAATGATTCATCCTCAGAGACCAAAGAAACAAAGGAATCTCAAGGCATACAAAGCAGTTCTCCCGGTCTTATATTCCTTATTTTGCCAAGAGAGGACAGATGCACCGCGTTCTCTGCACCTGGCTTTGGCTCTCTCAGGTTTGGCTCTCTCGGGTTTGACTGCGATCATACTCCACCGACTGGCCCTGGTGGCTCCAAAACGAAACTGCATGAAAACACTGAAGCCAATATACCTGTAAAACACACGTTTTATGTGTATATGATTCGTCAGTGTATGTAAAGAGTTCTGTTTTACGGTCCTGTTGCATTCAACACTGTCTAGGTGATATCACAATAGATAAAGATATCACAATGAGCTAATATATGGTAGGAGGCCATAGTGAGCACAGCAGCTCCACAAGCCCTTTATGGTATTCCGACCTTTGCTGCAGCAACTGTGGTTGTTACAGGTACGTTGATAGTGTTACCTCCAAGAGATCTAGAGTTAGATGAAGCCTTGTTCATGCCGCCAGTGACTTTTCAACAATAGGATCTAGCAAGGTCCAATGATGGATTCATTGTTGGAATTTAGAGTAACTTGATGGAGCCTGTCGATCTGAATCATCTGGACTGAAGTGTGTGCTTGCAATCACCAGTTTCATGTCTCTTACCACATTCAGGGACAGTATTACATATTAAGAAACCATGTGTATTATATGACAGTTAAGCGTGTGCATAACAGCCACGTCTGAGATTTCATTACAAACAGCTGCCAACAATGACTAAGAGCACACACTGATCTTTTTATTGATCTTCAGTATGATGCATAATGCAGTTACAACTTACATGCAACTTATTTCATTACAAATTGTTTATTTTTATAAGCATAAACTAATTTGATGTCAACAAGGAATGAAATTGAGCAAGCTTTGAGCCGAAGTGTAAATGTTGATGGCAAAGTCACTTCCTGCATGACCAGGGCTTGAGACTGCTGATTTGTGTTTCAAACACAAATTGACATTCACAAAACTGCACACAAACACTGCTCTACACTGAAGACACTATAAGGACAGAGGAAAATGGCCAGATATGGCTGTTTTTGTATTTTTAACATTTTATATTTTGACTCCAAAAGCCAAACTGTCAAAGCTATTTTAGAATATATATTTTGTACATTAATATATTAGAATGATGTCTATATATACACACACACACACACACACACCAGTGTTTATTATATATATATATATATATATATATATATATATATATATATATATATATATAATAAGCACCTGAAACACTATAGTCCTGCACATTTGAACAGGAGGGAAAGGTGTCTATAAATGATCAGTCACTACTTTTCTGCCACTGCATCCATTTGGATGAAATCAGAGCTTGCTTGTAACCAAGTAAGCATATAATATGTTTGGCCTTTCTCCAAAAAAGGGTTTCTGTATCCTGTCAAGTACAATGCAATGTAATTGTGAGTAGAAAATGGATGTGCAGGAGGCAAAATGGCAAGTGAGTGTTTTAAAACAGCCACAGTTGTTTAAATCTTGGCAAACACATCTGCAAATATTGATTTTCGCCTTGTGTTTATGGTGCAAGAGGGACAACGAGTTTGTATCCTGTTGGGATGTTTCTCTGTTATCCACTAATCTTCACCATTTTTTGCACTGCAGCTCGACCAGCAATCCCTTCCCTCTCAGTTTGATGGTACGACCCAATGAATGTCCGTTTTCTCCAATGAGGCCTTTGTATGTAAAGAATCAGAGCTTGTACACAAAATGTATAGAGTTCTCCATAAAGTGACATGGTTTTTGTTTTTCTTTTTGCTTTAACTGTTTCAGATCTTCAGTATACATCCAGATATGGCTATGATGTAATGTGTTGGGGGGAAAAATCTACATTTCCTTCCTCAGAGGTGTTATAAAAAGATAAAGTATATTTGGTCCTGTTCTACAGTCTTAAACTTGGACTCATCAGGGCTTCCAGAATCATTTCAGTCTTTATTTTCCTAATCAGTGCCATTTTCTTGCCAGCAATTTTAAAAATAAAATATCTGGTTGAATGTTTTTGTATTTTTAGTCATCATAATGATAATACGAGCTTTTAGTGCTAGATGACAGTCATGTGCTGCTTTTGCTATACGCTAAAGGTGAAGTGTGTAGTTTTAGCGCCACAACACACGCTCCCTTTCCACCATTGGTCACACATTAATTTCATCCCTCCCCCAAACTCACGCCATTGGTTAGGCCAGTGTTATCTTGTGTTGGTCGAGATTTTCAACTCAAACAAACATTTTTGGTTTTAACAGCGACACAAGCAGGATATAAGATGAAATTGGCGGCTTGTATGTCTCTCTACACGTTTAAGAAGAAGAAGAACGTATTTTAACATAAAAAAAAAACATTACACACTTCAACTTTAGTTCACTTTCTTTGTGTTTGTAATCCAAACGAAAGCACGGAGGTAAGACGTCAAGCAAATACCACACGTTTTCTGTCCTACTGATTATACAGACATTTAATATTTCAGTGGAGCTTCACCGGGTTATCCTTGCTTATGTCAAAACTCAATGCTGTTTTTTTTACGTCCAAATAAACTATTATAATATTAAACTAATTTTGAAATTACTTTGATTATAACGTTAGTGTTTTCGACGAAACTGAAATACGCCTTCATGTTTTTTTTCTATGTAACGTTAACCTAAACTATTCTTTAATTAATTAGTAACGTTATTTGAGTTTACATTTTTTAAAATTAGTTTTATGTGGTTCATACATTTTAAATGGAGAATAGTACCGGTGATCTGTCGATTTGTCCTTCTTTGTCAGATTGTCCTACCTCACATACTTTTTAAAAATGTATTTATTAAATTTTTTTTATTGAATACAAGAATAACATGCATTGAAGAAAAAATAAAATAAAAACATTAAGAAAGAAGAAAAAAATATTATCATAAGCTAAGAAACTTATTATCAAGCTTAAGAGATTCAATAATGAAAAAAATTTCAACAAGGAAAATATTAAATCTAGCTATTTCCTTTAGGAACTTATTTTTAAATATTAAAAATTTACAGTGTAACACAAAAAATACTAAGATTGAAAGCATGATCCTTACCTGAGAAATACAGAAATATATCTTTTAAAGACAAATTTAAAGGATGATCAATAAAATATAAAATAATGTTGTTCCAAAGAAGTTTAACGTGAATGCAACAATAGAATAAGTGAAATAAAGTCTCTTCATTGTACTTTGCAGAAAGTACATTAATTAGATATATCAAAATAATTAGCAATTTGGGAATTTGTAGTATATACTTTATGCAAAACCTGAAAATGTATCTGTTATTTTGTTGGACATGCTGAATTTTTCAGATAATAACCATGCTCTCTTCCATTGAATGCTGTCAGAAAAATTGGTCCAGAAAAATTGACATCTTGGGGAGGTATAAACAGAGTAATGTAACAACAGTCTGACATTTCTGTTGTCGCATTTTTTATCAAAAAACAAAAAAAAAAAGACTCCATCCAAAAAAAGTTAAGGCATAATTGTTGTCCTCTCATTAAAGTAAAGAAAGACCTACCTCCCATTCAAAGAGTAGGTAGCACATTTTGATGATGTAATTTGCTACTCCTCAGATATTGCTACTGATATTGCTAAAAAGTCAGGACACAAGGGCTCTCAAGTTTAAAATAAACAATAAAATAAAAATTTTATTTGACATAAATAATCAAACCATTTACATTTGCACGTCAAATTGTGCTTGTATAGGAACTCGTTTTTGATCGGCCTTTCTTTTGATGTCTATTTTTGTATTTCAGATGATTACGGACAGTTGGACAGTGAGATGATTATCTAAAGGTAGAGAATTTTACTTTGATGTACTTTTTGTAGATAACTGACCAACAAAAAATACATTTAAATTAAGACACAAATTATACCGAATGAAATTTTTAAAAAAATAGCATTTTACCAACAAATCTGGCAATATGAAGTGCTCTAAAATTGTTTCAATGTTTCCTGTTGCTATTTATTTTTGGGTCTTCTCAGATAACAATCCAAAGTAATTCAAAATTTCACTTTGTAAGTTGTTCTTTTTGAGAGATTGTCGCTAATAAGTAGTATTAACAGGAACAAAAATGAACCGATTCAGATGTGCATTTGAACTGAAGCATTAGAAAATGTGCAATAGGTGACCATAAAAGGTGTGAATTCTAGACAGTTTTGCCTTAAAGGCCTCAACAGACTATTTAAATAAAATGGTTTATTGTTACACAAACGTGTGAGCATTTTAGTGACTTTTTCATATGCAACATTATCTATTGTAATATACTGGTAAACCGTACAGACAATACAAATATTACTTTTTTTGCAACGAGAAATCAGAAAATTTTAAAGAAATATAATAATGGTAAAGCAAATAACAGACCATGAGAAAGAAAAAGAAGAAACAATCATAAATAAAAAATAAATAAAAGGGCACATGAAAATATTCTTCATAAATTTCTTTTTATCAGACTTTGAAATGGATTTCAAGTACAGTGCCAATTCTTGTTTAAAAAATGTGGTTCACATCGAGTATATTTACATTTATGTATCGTAAACAAACTTTGTCATTTTTTAAAATAGCCAATAACTGCATTTGGAATATTACATTAAATGTCCAGAGGGTGGCAGCAGTGCACTTTCAATGTTTGTGTTTTCTCATATGCCAACATTTCTGTATGAAAACCAACACATTTTGTTAGTTGTCTACCAGCTTGCACCCTCCCAACCCCCACCTGTACACCATTTTGAGGGATGTAAAAGAAAACAATGGTCTCAATGTATTTCCTGTTTTACATTTTTTATTTCTAGAGCTTCCGAGAACGCAAAAAAAGCCACATATTGATAAATAATGTTATGATAGCTGTTTTAACATTAAGTTATGATTGAATTG